ATTTACTGGGACATAATCCATTACTATCATTATTTTGAAACTTAAATTGCCTCAGATTTGGTTAGTATCATCCTTTTCCACCTGACTCTTAGGTCAAGTTGACATGTTTACATCAGTCTTTGAGTCTATCTTTACTTTCTGGCAAAAAAAAAAAAAAAAATTCCAAGCTCATCTTGTGTTTTTTTTTTTCTCTGCTTCAGTCCTTGAAATCAGCCTTTTTTCCTTTTTTTCTTTTAGTGAAGAAAGGTAACAATTTTCATTTTTAAAGTAGTTTAAAACCAGTTCTATTGTTTGTGTGAATCCAGTGTTTAAATTTTGGTAAGTGATCTCTGTTATGGTTCCATTCAGCCAATGGCATTAGTGATTAGTCTTAATTAATAATTTCCTCTTATTCCAGATAATGTTTTTTATCATAACATAGGGAAGTGTTCCTAAATGTGATACCTTAGAAAGATTAAAGACATGAATGGGAGTTTTAAATACCAAACTTTAAATTTCTAAAGTAAAATTAAAAATTAAAAACCATCTGAGAAGAAAACACTTTCAATATTTGACAAACTTAATGCTTTAATGTATAAACACTCTTTTAAATCAATATGATATAAACAGCAATAGAAAAAGAGCAAATATATATTGATGTAATTCACAAGAGAACAAATAAAAATGGCCAAGTAATGTCTCAACTTTGTGAGCAAGCAAAGTACCTATTTTAACAATTGAAACTACCCAAGAGAAAATTTTTGACCTATAACATTGGCAAAATTCCATTTAGTGACGATTTAGTTTTTCAAGGTACTGATTTCTTATGGAATTATCCATTACAACAGTTTTACTATAGGACAATTTGATGGCATAAAGTAAAAGCCTTACTAGATTTTTGGTTTTACAGTACTAAGTTTAGAGGCCCCTTTTAGGCACCCAACCTGAGCAATGGAAACCCGAGTAAGGTAAAGGTGCCCACAGTGACCTCCAGGCTGAATATAAATGGGCCATTAGGCAACCCACCTCAAAATGTCCAAAAACCCTAGCTGACCAATGGGTACCGGTATGAAAAAAGGAAAATTCTATTCATTCCCATACCTCCCAACCTTGCCCCCTTAACTATAACCTACACCACTGCCTCCTGGCAGACAGTCTAGGCAGAAAGGAGCAGGAACAAGGACAAAAAAAGTAGGTTGGTTATTGCCAGATCACTTTCCTTTAGGGGACGGCAGAGGTCTATCAGGCAGATGACCTAACTAGAGCTAATTAGGCATTAACGTAAGATTCCATCTCTGGGAGAGCAGAAATTCTAGCTTAAGTGTCAGTTTGGTGGCATGGGACCTTGCAGAAGTGACTCCACTTTAGGCCTAGTGTCTTGTTTTTAACAATATTTATCCCCTTAAAGCATTCAGATAAAGGAGACAAAAACTCTTCACATAAAGCCTGTTTAATCATTACAATTTTTACTGAAATTTTCACCTTAATCTTATCAAATCTTTATATTTCTGCATTCTTTCAATCTAGTTGTAGCCTATGTTAGGGTTTCACCAACAGTTGTTGATACCACAGTGCATGCATCTCCTGTGTCTATAAATCTTGGAAACTTCTTTTCTTCACCCTCTGACCATTTTACCTACTCCTCAGTGTTAGGCTTTGGGTCCCCAGCCAAGAGACCCTGGCGTTTTGTCAAACTTTATTTTGATTAATCTGCCTGACTGTTGCCCTATGTGATTACAGGCTAGGTTTCTCATTGTATTCCTGGCCTTCCAGCTTTTTAAATTCCTCCAAACTGGGGTAAAGAGAGCAAACTTGTTTGGGGCATTTTAATGTTGAGGAACCATCTTCATTTGACCCACCCAAACTTCAATAGTGCTGTATTTAGTACTCTTTTCAACTCCATCAATTTATCTTATTTGTTAATAATCATCTGTGCTTTTATTTTTTTAATTTTTTAAAATTTATTTATTGTTTAATTTACATCCAAGTTAGTTAGCACATGGTGCAATAATGATTTCAGGAGTAGATTCTTTAATGTCTCCTACTCATTCAGCCCATCCCCTCTCACATAAACCCTCCAGCAACCCTCTTTTTGTTCTATATTTAAGAGTCTTTTATGTTTTGTGAGCCTCCTTGTTTTTATATTATTTTTGCTTCCCTTCCCTTATATTCATCTGATTTGTATCTTAAATTCCTCATATGAGTGAAGTCATATGATATTTGTCTTTCTCTGACTGACTAATTTCACTTAGTATAATACCCTCCAATTCCATCCACATAGTTGCAATGGCAAGATTTCATTCTTTTTGATTGCTGAGTAATACTCCATTGTATATATATACCACACCTTCTACATCCATTTATCTGTTGATGGACATTGGGCTCTTTCCATACTTTGCTATTGTCAATAATGCTGCTATAAACATTGGGGTGCATGTGTCCCTTTGAAATAGCACACCTGTAGCCCTTGGATAAATACCTAGTAATGCAATTGCTGGGTTGTAGCATAGTTCTATTTTTAATTTTTTAAGGAATCTCCAGACTGTTTTCCAGAGTGGCGGCACCAGTTTGCATTCCCACCAGCAGTGCAAAAGAGATCCTCTTTCTCTGCATCTTTGCCAACATCTGTTGTTGCCTGAGTTGTTAATGTTAGTTGTTAATAATCATCTAAAGATTTCCACCTTACTAGGAGAGTTCTTTGATTCTTCTCTCTTCCCTTCCCCATTTCCTTGTTAACTAATTTAATTTTTTTATTAGTCTCTGGAACACCCATGAGAGGAAGCCGAGGCAATATATTTGTTAAGGTTTCTCAGACATCTGCTTGCTTTTTCCCAGGGAAATCTCATTCTTAAGGAGTTTTAATGGAGGTTTCATTACTTAGGCATGATTGATCAAATCATTGGCCATTGGCAGTTAAACTTAATCTCTAGTTAATCCTGTCACCTAAGAGGTCTGGAGTGGAGCTCAAAGTTGCAATCTAATCAAGTCTTGATCTTTCTGGCAACTGGCTCCCATCCTTGTGCTATCTAGCTCCTCCAACCCTAAAGTCACATTAACAAAAGGATACTTTTATCACTTCGGAAACTCCAAGAGCTATAGGAGCACTGCTCCTGGACGCAGGGACAAAGACCCAACATATTTTTTATACCGTTGCCATCCTGATGCATGTGAAGTAATGTCTCATTGTGGTTTTGATTTGCATTTCCCTAATGATTAGTGATGGTAAGCATCTTTTTGTGTGCTTATTGGTCATCTGTATATCTTATTTGGAGAAATGTCTATTCAAGTTCTTTGCTCATTTTTTAATTGGATTATTTCTTTGCTCGTTTTTAATTGGGTTATTTTACTGTTGAGCTGTAGTTCTTTATATATATTCAGGATATTAATCTCTTACCACATGTATGGTTTGCAAATATTTCTCCCATTCTGTGGGTTGCCTTTTCACTCTTTTAATAGTGTTCTTTTTTGTTGTTGTTGTTTCTTAACATTTATTCAGTTTTGAAAGACAGAAAGCATGAGCAGGGGGGCAGCAGAGAGAGGGAGACACAGAATCCGAAGCAGGCTCCAGGCTCTGAGCTGTCAGCACAGAACCCAATGTGGGGCTCAAACTCACAAACCATGAGATCATGACCTGAGCCGAAGTCGGCAGCTTAACCAACTGAGCCACCCCAGTGCCCCTTGATAGTGTCCTTTGATGGACAAAGGTTTTTAATTTGATGAAGTACAATTTGTATATTTTTTCCTTTAGTGTCCATGCCTTTGGTGTCATCCACAACATCATTGCTAAATTCAACATCATGAACCTTTCCCCAAGTTTTCTTCTAAGAGTTTCATAGTTTCAGGTGTTATGGTGACATCTCTGATCCGTTTTGAGCTAGTTATTGTGTGTGGTATAGGAAAAGGACCTAACTTAATTCTTTTGCATGAAAAGACTGCCCTTTCCCTAATGAACAGTCTTGGCAATCTTGTTGAAAATTACTTGACTTTATATTGAGTGTTTATTTCTGGTCTCTTGGAATAGTGTTGCATTTTATTTTTTAATCGTTTAGATCATCACCATTCATAAAACAAATTATGTGAAAAATCGTTTCATATTAACAGTGATTTTGCTAAAATGAAGGCAAGAAATTTAATTTTAGGTAATAAACATAATTCTACATGTCTGTCTTCAACATGTTACTCAGCCAAACATAGCCGCCACACAGCAAAACCCAGAAATGTGCAATACTAACTCAATTCAGTAATCTGATATTTTGCTGACTTTTAATCATTTAAGTAACATAGCTTTGTTGTGGAATATTGCCACGCCCTGGTCTTCCCACTCCCCTTACTATTTACATCAAATGACTCAGTATACCATGGTTAAACATATCATTAAACAATATTTATAATCATCATATTCTTTAAATTAACCTGGGTCTTTAATTTTCTAAAAGCTAGCAAATCCTCAAACTCATGCCACCCCCCAACACTCCCACACACGCAGTATGGAACATCAGCAGAGAGTTGTACAAGAGACTATGAAAGGGGTACTAGTATTCTAGAAGCCTCAATGGGTAAATGGCCGTATCATGCACTTTGAAAACCATACACAGGGCATTTCCGTTGTGCTATTACAGCGACATAAGTAGTGCTTCTATTCTGTCAGCATTGTTCACTCTTTATAAGTTTGCATAGATGCCACGGGTCCCTCAGCAGCAGCTGACCACCCAACGCACTCCGTGGTATCCAACGCTGAGCGGCCTTTACTGCGAAGCTGTCAGCGGAAGCCAGGAGGCGACCCGGGCGGCGCCGCAGGTGTGGAACCCACTGCGCCCTGGCCCCGCCCCCCACAGCTCCCTGGCCCCGCCCCCCACCGCTTCCCTGGCCCCGCCCTCCACAGCCCGCCTGGCCGCGCCCCGCTCCACACAGAGCTTCCGCACCTCCCCGGGCCCGCCCCCTCAGCAGAGCCCGCGGGATCCAGTGCGCCGGCGCAGGCACCACCCTTCTCGCTCGGCCCGCCTCACCGCCGCGTCGCTTAAGGAGCCGGCCGGGCGCCCGCCTTTCCGGCTCGCCCCGCCTCCGCACGTCCTGCGCGCTTCGCTTGCGGAAGCATGGAGGGCGAGAGTACGTCGGCGGTCCTCTCCGGCTTTGTGCTCGGCGCGCTCGCTTTCCAGCACCTCAACACCGACTCGGACACGGTGAGCCCGCGGGGCGAGGCGGGCTCCGGCATCGCCTCGGGAGAGGCCCCGCGCGCGGGCGCCCTTCGCCGCCGTTACCCCCGTCCCCGCCCATGAGCTCCCGGCGGCGCCGCGCCGGTCCTCTGCCTTGGGGCTTTGCCTTGTCCCGCTCCTGGGCAGTCCTAGGTGTGTCTCCCGCCTGCCGAGTCTTTTCCAGGAGTAGCCGTTCCTTTTCTAACCAGAGTTTATTTCTTCGCCCCGACAAGTGTCCCACACGCCCGCGTTTCTCTTCCACACCCCCCCCCCTTTTTTTCTGGTTAAACTTCGTTGTAAAAGGATGGAGAGTTCATACAACATTCTCCTACGACGGTTGGAAGGTTGCGGGTTAACTTTCCGTTTCTTCTAAGTGCCGATTACTGGTTCTCAAAGGCCGCTGAATCTTTTCGTGCAGAGCAGCCACTGTGTGTGTGTGTGTGTGTGTGTGTGTGTGTGTGTGTGTGTGTGTTGAAATTGTAGGCTAGGAGATGCGTCCAGTGGCAGTGCTGGGGCAAAGCTTAGTGGACGAAGAAGCCTAAATTGGTGTATGTGAGATCTGATTTTTGTTTGTATTGGTGTCAAGTTTATGAAGTAAGGCCTCAGCTAGTTCCTTTGTTGATGCTTTCAGTTACAATGAAAACATTTAAATTTATCCTCAAATATTAGATATTCTTATTTCATACTTCTGCCAGGTTCAAAAGTCTCTGGATCCAATAGTGAAGTAGTGTTTTGAATACAGTACACGTTTTGAAAAACTTATGCAATCATAAAAATACTATAAAACTTCGACCCCAAGAAATACTGGCTTAGATTTAAGTGTTTAGTATGCTCGTACAGTTTAGAAACCTCAGTACTGAACAAAGCCTACTGACATCTGCTAAATATTGTCCTCTTCATTTCAGCGTCCTACATTTCATAAGGTCTATTGTTTCCAAAATCGTTTTTTGGCACAATCCTAATAAAGCTGGAATTGATACCTTTCATGTATACAGTTTTAAAGTTGGGGGGGCTGCGGTGATGGTTCTTCATTTATTTATTTTGAGAGAAAGCACAGCAGGGGAGGGGCTGAGAGGAGACCAAATCCCAAGCAGGCTGAGAACCAGCTTGATGCGGGGCTAGCACTCAGGAACAGTGAGATAGAGTTGGGCACTTAACTGACTGGGCCACCCAGGCACCCCTACAATTTTAAATAACCTTGTAGATTAACACCTGGCTGAGAGCAAATATATGGCAATTTAAAATGTGTGTGGCTGTGGCAATTATTTTGGAAAGTCTTAGTGTGAATGTAAACAGAATGGGTCCTTAAGTCTCTGTGGTTTAAAGGATTAGCCCTCGGGAAGTACCATCGTGTTAGAGAGACCATTACTCTTACATCTTTTCCCTGACATCTTTAAAAGGTGATTCTCTGGATAGCTGTACTTGCATTGACGCTGCTTCCTTTCCCAGGGTTTGTCTCGAACACTGGGCTGTAGAGTTCTGGATTGTTCCCTCCAGATTCCAGTAAAAACTCATTATTGAAACGTTCATTTTGTCTTTTTTTTTTTTTTAATGGAAGGGGGAGGCATTCTTGACTAACTATAAAGAAGATAAAATCTTTATTGTCCATCAAGCATATTGGGTCTTCAGATGTGCCAAGGGAAATAATTGAATTCTCTGAAACTCAAAGATATCACTCCTGTTGTGGCAAAATGCCTGCATTTTAAAAACAATTAGGGTTCCCAGTTCCCCTTTTCGAAATCAGACTTTGATACTGAATTCCAAATCTTTAATATTTACAACTTTTAATCTAAAAACGCTGATCATTGTGTCATTTCATAGCTCACAAGTGCCCCCTGGCTCCCAGAAGCATGTGCCATTAATCCAGAGCCCTTGGCTGGGTACTCAGGATGTTCCATTATTGGCTATGTTCCCACCTATCTGTGATTTCCTTACTCTGAGAGGGGAGCCTTCTGTTGGAAGACAAACTACCCTGCTGCTCCTCCTTCACACAGTGTGTGCTCATTTCTGGCGCTAAGCCTTTTATATTCCAGATGTGCTAAAATCACAGCAGTATTTACAATCTCTTCTGTTCATTTTTATTAAATTGTGCATGTTTCCTAACTAAACTGAAAATGCACCTGGTCTTTATTTTGTGTGTCCCTCACCTGATCTTGGGATATATTGGTTAAGTGATTGAGCAGTAATTCTATCACGATATTCCATAGACTGCTTGTTTTTACCCTTTTAGGAAGGTTTTCTTCTTGGGGAAGTGAAAGGCGAGGCGAAGAATAGTATTACTGATTCCCAAATGGATGATGTTGAAGTTATTTATACAATTGGTGAGTCACTTATTTTTTTTTTAAACTTTGTTTATATATTTTGAGAGAGTGAGAGTGAGAACACAAGGGAGGGGCAGGAAGAGAGGATCCCAAGCAGGCTCCACAGTCAGAATGGAGCCTGACATCCGCACACCGCAAGATTATGACCTGAGCAGAAACCAAGAGTCAGATTAGTTTGTTAATTGCTTTAAAAAATAGATAAAACCTTTTAAAGCTGATTTTAAAAGATACATTGTATTCATTTCTCAATTAAAATTATGGCACTGACTTCTGGGGATGAGCACTGGGTGTTATATGGAAACCAACTTGACAATAAACTATTTGTAAGAAATAAATAAATAAATAAATAAAATTATGGCTGTGGCCTAAAGCAAGAGTGAGGGACATAGGATGCAGACAAGATTACCGTGAGGAAACAAGGATGAACTAGCTCCTATATATTTAAGTGGCAGGAAGATGGCCCAACAAAAGGTAAAGGAACCGGTAAGCAAGACCAATAAAAAAGATAAAACAGTTTGGACACAGACTTTAAGTACTGCAGAAAAGTTGGAAGATAAGAACTGAAAAAGCTCAGTTTTTCGGCCTCTGTCTTAGATCATTGTAAGTAACTTTGGGAGTGTAGTGTGAAAAAGGCAAGACTGTGAAGGGCTCCAGGAGCGGGTGGTGAATCACCTGCCTCATATGGCAGCTGGTCTTTCAGGGAGGAGAGAGAAAAGGGAGCTTTAAAATATATGGGGGGTTTTCTGATTACCTAACATATTTTTCTAAGCATATTTTTAAAAACAAAGTTGGTGGTTTGCTCTATAAAACATGTGGCACCATGACATCATATTGTGTCATGACCATTTCCATATGTTAAACAATCCTCTAAAAATCATTTTTTATAACTCTACTGTATTTTCTGTTAGCTTACTTACTCTTAATAGCTCTATGTGATTTCAGCAGTCTTTTAAATTATAATCAGTAGTTTCCATTTTTTCATTATCATAAATTACGTGACCATCCTTGTACATAAATATTTTTTTACACTTATAGATAGATTCTTGGAGGTGGTATTAGAGTGTCAAAGGGTATGAACATTTTTAAGCTTCTTGATCTGTATTAGCAATTGCTTTCCAGAAATACTGTGTCAGTTTATATTCCTACTTTATGTAACTTTTTTGTTTGCCACTTTAAAAGGTTAAAAATGGAAGTATATGTGCAAATTTATATATGTATATAAACGTAGTATATATGTGTAAATAAATATGTAAAGTAAATTTAAATTCACTCTCAATAGAGTCTTCTTTGGTAACCACTGTCAGTGGTATTAGTATTTTTTTGCTCATTAACAATACACATGTATATAAATGTGTATAATTTTTTATTTACATGAAAGGGATTATTACTATACATGGATAAATATCTCCAGGATAAATTATCTCCATTGATACTGTTCTGTACTAACGGTGTATAGTTTGCCATTCTTTCTAACGGCTTTATATTCCCAACTGTTTCTACGTACCATCTCTTATATAAAACCAGTTACGAATGACTTTCTATTTTTTTGTTAATACAAAACAATATAGTAGTGAACACTTTGTAGTCCATATATCTCTATGACGTTGAGTCTGTTGGAAAGTCAAATTCCTAGAGGTAGACCATTGCCTTTGGAGAAGGCATGTTCTTAAGACTCTTCCACCGTATATAAAAGTGCCCAGGTCCCCATATTGTTGTCATCACTAGGTATTATCCAATCTTCTAATCTTTGCCAATTTGATAAATGAAAAGAAACTATATTAATTTGCATTTCTTAATTACAAATGAGGTTAAGTGTTTATGTATTGCTTTAGGGGCAGCTTTTGGTTTTTGAAAAAGACAGGACTGTTGCATACTTTTACTCTCTTTCTACTATACTATTTTGCTTTTTCTTCATTGATTTGTAATACCACATTACAACTTAAGGAAATTGGCCTTTTGTCATGTGTTACAGCTGTTTATACAGTTTGTAGTTTTACTTTGTTAATTATTTTTTCTTCTCAGAAGCTTTAAAAACAAGCCTTTGGGGCATCCCCCCCCTCAATTGTAATTGGCATGCTACCCACAGTAAGCAAACATATTTTGAGGAGTTTAATTAAACAACCACATTGAGCAACCCCATCGTGCTGGAACAATGCTAATAAACATTAAGGTATTAGGCAAGTGCTATAGGAACGCTTAAGTATTTGCTCAAATTATTTTAAAATGTTGGATTATTAGATGATAACAAGTAAAATCCAAGGTCTACATGTTACTACATTACTTTGGCTAGCGGTTATTTTTGTATTTTCCCATATCTACACCAGACTGTGTTTGACCAGTTACCAGTTGCAAAGACTGTTTCTGTTCATTTTAAACAGGAATTTATCTGAGGGTAACGTACATTTTCTAGAAGAAAAAGGTCTCAAGAAGATGATCACTTTTCCTTTTTTTTTTTTTTTTTTAAAGAGATTTTATTTTTTTTTAAATGTTTTATTTATTTCTAGGAGAGAGAGAGCGTGAGCAGGGGAGGGTCAGAGAGAGAGGGAGTCGTAGACTGAAACAGGCTCCAGGCTCTGAGCTGGCAGTCAGTGCACAGTGCCCGACGCGGGGCTCGAACCCACGAACCGCGAGTACATGACCTAAGCGAAAGTCGGACGCTTAACCGACTAAGCCACCCAGGCGCCCCTCACTTTTCCTTTTTTAAATAGACTGAATTACTTTTATTAATATACATATGGAGTTATTGAAATGGTGATTTCATGTAGTTTTCTCTTTAAAGATGGTACTTGCAGGTACAAAGATGCAGAGATGTCTACAGCCTTCAGATGTTTACTTGAAGAGATTCAGCAGCAGTTTGATGTGGGTTTCCTCATCTTGCTGAAGGTTCACAAATTCCCCAAAGTCACACTGATGTCTTTGATTTAAGTAACTAAAAAATTTTGTAGTAATCTGGCTAAGATCTGCCCAAGGAAGAGATACACAAATAGGACATGTCACAGGAACGATCTGAATAGGTGATTGCTATTACAGTAATCCCGTAAATACTGTCTGGTAAAATTTGATTTTGACACAAGTCACACTTAAAAGTGGGAAGCCCAGAAGAACCTGTATTCTCTTCTGTAGTTGTTTTTAAAGTATTCTTTGCATCCAATGTGGCGCTCACATTCACAATCCAGAGATCTAGAGCAGCATGCTCTACCAACTAAGGCGGCCAGGCGACCCTGGACTCATATGCTCTGGATAAGTTTCTGTGTTATCAGATGTGGATGGTTCACTCATACTGCTCCTTGAATAATTTTGGGAGATCTGAAAGTTTGGAATAATAGAGGAACACCACATTCATCTGGATATTTCTTACAAGATTTATAATAGTGTCTTGTGCAATAGAATTTAATCTGTTTTACCCAGCATCTGTAGCTACCAGAATTTGGATGTATTTAGATGTATTTCTATTGACAAGAGAATAAAAGTTACTTCCTAAAAGATACTAGGTTTTTGTTTTTTTTTTAAGTGTGTAGTTAACAAATCCTTTAGGAAGCAGCTGCTTGGAATAACAAGATAATCCTTTAGCAGCTGTTGTTGTCAGTTGGGTAGAATTAGAGCATAACCTTTTTAGAACCCAATGAAAATATAGCAACTTTAAATTTATCTCTTGTGTTGCCATTATTAAACCTATTTAGAGGGAATGTAGTGTTCTAGTTAAGACTGAGGCACTGGCTTTGAATTTTGACCCCCCCCCCACTCTGTCTGCCTGTTACCTCATCTTTAAAATGGAAGGGACTATAGGTCTCCTAGGTTTGTTGTGAGGATTAAATGAGATCATGGTACAGTACTTACTCAGTATATGCTGTTCATGTATGAAGTGCTCAGTATATGCTATTCAAATAATAAGTAATCATAGCAAAAAATTCCTATTTTCCAGACATCCAGAAATATATTCCATGCTATCAGCTTTTTAGGTAAGTAGCGAGAGGAGATAAATGACCTATTGTGAAAACTATTCTGTGCGAAAGAAGTAATTAAAAAAAAATTTTTTTAATGTTTTTTATTTATTTCTGAGAGAGAGAGAGCATGAGCAGGGGAGGGTCAGAAAGGGAGGGAGACACAGAATCTGAAACAGCCTCTGAGCTAGCTGTCAGCACAGAGCCTGACACGGGGCTTGAACCCACGAACCACGAGATCATGACCTGAGCTGAAGTCAGACGCTCAACCGACTGAGTCACCCAGGCACCCAGCGAATGAAGTAATTTTTAAAACTAACAAAATATCTTAACTATCAGTTATATATGGTGGTACTGATAAAAATGAAAAGACTTTTTAAAAAAAATATATCTGAAAATTCACTTGTTCATTTCACCCTAATAGTTCTTTCTCTGTATTTATATGCTTGCTTTAGCTGGTCTCCACTGCCTCTCCCAGGTACCAGTTTACCTAGAGGATTGTTTTCTCACACCCAGTCACCTCATTGCGTATTCTAAACTCAGTGACACGTTCTCATACGTCAACAGCAGCCCTTTTTTCTACTTGGCTATGATATTTCTTAAAACTTTTCATTGAGGTATAACACACACTTAAAAACCAAACCCCTATAACTACAACATGGTGTAGTTTTAATGAAATGCCTTTATGATTTATATAAACTGTACTTGGAAAATCAGCATTACTATCTTCCAGTCACACTGTGTGTACACATAGCTAAGGTTGTATACGAATTGCAGTGGAGCATATGGTAAAGGTGGAAACATCTGGTAGGGAGGACAAAAAAGGCTTTTGTGTGGTCTTAAACTGCTATGCCAGAAAGAGCTAGAGTTTGTATGGTGTTCTGTATACAGTGGACATACAGAAATATTTGTTGAATGAAGGATTCCTGGATCCTCTACTCCTTTTCCTTTTTCATTACTTATGGATCTCATATTTCTACCACTTTAAGTCTGTTAATTTGAGAACTTTATTCTTATTTTTTAGAACTTCATATGACCAGCAAGTAGGTATATGGATTTTGGGTGGGTAAGGAGTAACTAATATTAAAAATGCTAATAAAATCCATATTTTTAGCCTGTTTGAAATGCCTTTAAATTTGGCTTTTACAGCTTTTATAATTCTTCTGCTGAACTAAATGAGCAAGCACTGAAGAAGATATTATCAAGCACCAAAAAGGTATTCCCTGACTTTTTAGAGGTTTTTTTGGTATTCTATCCTAAAAATGGGTAATATATATATTTTTTTAATGTTTTATTTATTTCTGAGAGAGAGAGTGACAGCTTGAGCAGGGGAGGGTCAGAGAGAGAAGGAGACACAGAATCTGAAACAGGCTTCAGGCTAGCTGTCAGCACAGAGCCCAACGAGGGGCTCGAACCCACAAACTGTGAGATCATGACCTGAAAAATGGGTAATACTTTAACAGAAGTTTTAAGCAACATTTGTCTTCGCAGTGTTCTATAAAGCAAGTGAAAAAAGAAAGGCTTCTTCTTTCCAGAAGTTTAAAAGGATTGCTCTGAGAACAAAACCAGTCACTAAAAATATTAATCTTGTTCTCATTCTCGGCTATTTTTTTATTTAAAAAAACCATTTTTTTAACATTTATTTTTAAGAGAGACAGGGGAGGGGCAGAGAGAGAGGGAGACACAGAATCCAAAGCAGGCTTGAGGCTCTGAGCTGTCACTGCAGAGCTCGATGTGGGGCTTGAACCCACAGACCGCGAGATCATAACCTGAGCTGAAGTTGGATGCTTACCCGACTGAGCCACCCAGGTCCCCCAGATCGTTGACTATTCTAATTAGCATTAATCTCTTCCTCTTCTACATTCCTACCATACCTCTTCCCATACCATTTATTTTAGGACTTAACTCCTCTGTTTTTACATAGCTGCAGTTAATGCACTTTGCTATGTAGCACCCAATTTGAACCTTCCCTAGTATACTTGGTGTCTAGGTAAGACTTGCTGAATGATCAAAACAGGGTTTTTCCCCCCTATACAAAATTGCAGGTTCTTAAAACTTTTTGATCTCTGAGTTGAAAATAAAAGTAGATACAGTAAGTTTCTTTTAAAAAACATCCTTTGTTGAAAATGCTTGGAGCTTGCCCCCCAATTATATTTGGGTATTTTAAAATGTACCTATAAAAACTTTATTTTTAAAAAGAAAATTTTTAATTTTGTCAGTTTAAATGTGCAGATAAAAAACTTAGTTGCTGACATTGTCACACACAGACCTTTAAGCAAAGTAGTTGCTCTTTGTTATAATTACAAAGTTTTCAATAAATGAGATTTATTTTTCCAGCTTTTAAGAAAAAGTTTAGGAATACTAACAAATTTGTTCAGCAAATGTTACAGTTTATGAAACCATTTCATATGATCTTCCTCAATTTCGAAACCCACTCTAGAGGTGGTATCATTTCCATATAAATTCCAGTTAAAACCTATTGGGTTCAGTTTATTTAGCAAACCAAATATCCATACAGGAAATAAATTTGTTTTCATTGACACTTTCTTCATTTAAATTTTGACTAAAGATTAAGATTTTAAATCATAAATGCTATGAAGAAACTAGAAGTTAGGAATCTTTTTTCTCTATATGAATAAAATAGTAGCTCCGTAGCTGAATGGAAAATAATTTGACTACGCAAGTCAGTTTGTATGCGTTATTAAAAGTAAAGAGTATACTGAAGTATGTGCTTTGTTTATGTATGTCAAAATCTTGCTAAATTTAAGAATGCCATTTTTAAGGCTGTCAATTTTATTGTTTAATTATGACAGTAAGACAAAAAATAATTGTAACCATTAAGGCCTACACCTGGTATTTTTTTGTATTTTTCCTCAGGCTGTGGTTGGATGGTACAAATTCCGACGTCATTCAGACCAGATCATGACATTTAGAGAGAGGCTGCTTCATAAAAACTTACAGAAGCATTTTTCAAGCCAGGAACTTGTCTTTCTGCTGTTAACACCAAGTATAATAACAGACAGCTGCTCTACTCATCGGCTGGAGCATGCCTTATATAAACCTCAGAAGGGGTAAATGTTGGGCCAGTCACTGGCTGTTTCTGTTAATAGAAAAGTATACTCAGTGCTTTCAGTGTACTTTTTGCAACTTAACAAATATTTCAAATCTTGTTTCACTTAATTGTCACAATAACCCTCTGAAGTTAGTGTACCATATTTTTTTATAGATGGGAAAATGAAGGTTACATAAGGAAATTAGAAGCCCAGTATGGAATGATGACTTGTGTTTTTGGCACAGAGGATTTGTCATAAGGTGGAAAAAATATGTGTGTTTTAGTTATGGTTGCTAAAGGACATAATAGAGAACTGAGCCTAGGTACTTGAGTAGCTTTTCTGTAACCTGCAAAGAAGCAAGGTCGTTCTTGGTGGCCCACCAAAATGAGTTAACAGAGATTCCCAACAGGTTATATAAACAACATTCTCATGGAATATGAGGATTAAGTGAAAAGAGTACCAACTAAGATTAATTTTATTATTTTTTTAAGTGGGCTCCATGCCCACCCCCAATGCAGGGCTTTGAACTCACGACCCTGAGATCAAGACCTGAGCTGAGATCAAGAGTCAGATGCTTAACCAACTGAGTCACTCAGGTGCGCCTAAGATTAATTTCTTTTAATGTTTACTTATTTTTGAGAGAGAAAGCATAGGAGGGGCAGAGAGAGAGAGGAACAGAGGATCTGAAGCAGGCTTTGCGCTGACAGCAGAAAGCCCGATGCAAGACTCAAACTCACAAACCGTGAGATCATGAGCTGACCAAAGTCAGAAGTTTAACCGACTGAGCCACCCAGGCCCCCCTACAATTAATTTTATTATTCATGGAAGACAGGATAAATCTCAACAACACTGCCTATTTTTACATGTTAAAATAGCCATTACAGCATTCTTTTAGGGGCACCTGGGTGGCTCAGTCGATTGAGCACCCAACTCTTGGTTTTGGGTCAGGTAATGATCCCAGGGTTGTGGGATCGAGCCCTGCTTTGTGCTGTGTGCTGAGCATAGAGTCTGCTTGGGATTCTCGTGCGCGCACTCGTGCTCTCTCTCTCTCTCTCCCTCTCTCTCCTCCTCTCCCACTCCCTCTGTTCCTCTCCTCAGACCATGCTCTCTCCAAAATAAAAAACAAAAAAAATTTTTTTTAAAGGTATTGTTTTCACACAATTACCTTACACTGTGCACATTTCACCACTTTTAAAAGCCATTTGCTTCAAGTCAATACTGTCTCAGGTAAGTAGTATAGAATGGGGTTTTTGGTTATTTTTTAATCTTGTAGGGGAAAGGTACTCTATACATAATATGTATAAGTATATATAGAAATATAATAAGGAGAGGCTAATATTTTACTTTATTCTAACTTTATATTTTAAAATTTTATTATTTCAGACTTTTTCACAGGATACCATTAGTGGTGGCCAATCTGGGCATGTCCGAACAACTGGGTTATAGAACTGCATCAGGTTCCTGTGAGTCCACTGGTTTTAGCCGAGCAATAAAAACACACAGGTGAGATTCTTTGGCTGCTTTCCCACTAAATTTTCATTCATTTTTTGAAATTAATTTTTTATTACACAACAATGAAAATTAAAGGAAAACTAATGAGCACATTATTCAAATAAACTAGACTGTTTTTACTTTTTCCATATTTCTTTCTAGCACTTGTCCATTTATAATATACCAAAAAGAGAAGGGTTGTTGTATATCCTTTATGTGTCAACATGTATTCTGAGAGTAAGTAGCTGGCTTCAAAATAATTTTCTATGGAAGCAGTTTAGATCATAAAGGCATAAAATTAGACTGGATATGAGACTTCAGCCAAGTAACAACAAAAATATGAGACTTTAGCCAAGACTCATTCATACTATAGGCTATAGCTATATTGCCATAACTGTTGTTTGTTAAGGAAATAGTTAATGTCAGAAATAACAACACTGGGACTACAGGGTACTTACTGAAGAATAAGAAACTAGATTTTATTTATTTTTGTGTTCCACAAGAATTTACAGTTTTAAAGAAACTGAATTCTGAGAAACAGAAACCTTAATTTTGAGATGCACAGTTTTATATTTATCTCTAATTGGGGTAATTTACAAACTATGCCTTAGCGGTTTGTCTTTTGGTATATAAAATAATGTTGCCTCTTTCAATCACTAATAACTTAAATTCAGTATAGTATTTTAAAAATTGACCGGTCCCTATTACCAAGAAAGAAACCTCTTTCCCCTTCTCCTTCAGTCTTGATTTTTCTTAATTTCTTTTGAGTCCTTAAGAGGCTTTGAAGTCTGCTAATGTGAAGATATATGAACTAAGTTTTCTGATTGGTTTTGCTATGAACAAGTAGGCTGACAAAATATGTTCCCTGCAAAACCAGTCAAAAGAATCTTGTTGCTCCTCAACTACAGATAGGTTTTCATCGTAGTATTAAAATGATTTCTATACATTTGCCTGACAAAATGGTAATTTTTCACAGCTCTGAATTTTTTAAAGAAGATGGATCTTTAAAGGAGGTACATAAAATAAATGAAATGTATGCTTCTTTACAAGAGGAATTAAAGGTAAGTTCACATATCAAACAAAGACTACTTCTAAAGTTCATATCAAATTGATAACAAACCTTTTAGGGGTAACTTGACATTTGATTAGATTCACATTATTCTGATAGGTTTGTTTCAGTAACAGGTTAAGACCTCAATCTCAGAAGTTTAGTCTCACTCACATTTTATCTCGGCTGCAGCTCTGCTCCTATTCTAAGTGTTGTCTTCATCCTAGGATCCACCCTGAAGGAGCAGCCCTTATTGGGACATGCTCTTCTCATGACAAATGGAAAAGAGCAAAAGCTGGTGGAAATTCACAACAGCTTCAAAACTTCTGTTCAGGCGCACGTGGGTGGCTCAGTCAGTTAAGCGTACAACTTTGGCTCAGGTCATGATCTCATGGCTCATGAGTTCGAGTTCCGCCGTCAGGCTTTGTGCTGCCAGCTCAGAGTCTGGAGCCTGCTTTAGAGTCTGTCTCCCTCCCCCGCTCATCTGTGTGTCTCTGAAATATAAACATTTAAAAATATTTTTTTTTAATTAAAAAAACAAAGAAACTGACAGTGGGGCCAGTACTAATATCCCACTGTGTTCATTCATGGAACACAGCAGCCAAGGGGAAGTGTGGCTTCAGTAGTGGACTTGGAAGTTTGGTCACTGGGGCTGTCCGTCCACTATGCTTCCTCCACTGGAGATCTGAGCAGTATATTCCATGGCCATTGTACTCCTCAATATAGCACCCTAAGAGGGGGCACCTGGGTGGCGCAGTTGGTTGAGCATCCAACGTCAGCTCAGGTCATGAGCTCACAGTTCAGGAGTTTAAGTCCTGCATCAGGCTCTCTGCTGACAGTGTGGAGCCTGTTTCACATCCTCTGTCTCCCTCTTCCTCTGCCACTCCCCCATGTGCTCTCACTCTCTTTCTCAAAAATAAACACCAAAATGTATACATATATACATATCACACTAAGAGAAATAGGGTTAACACATTTTATACTACTAATGAACACTGGTCTTTAATGTGAATGATAATACAGGAATTTTAGAAAACAGAAACATCCAGAATCCCAAAATTGTAACATAGCTATTTTCACTTAACCATAATTTCTAGTTTTTCCCTAATCTGTCCATTCTTTTACATAGTTGATAGTGAAGGGGACTGTCAGGATTTTCATTTGATGTCATTAAGCATTTTTCATGTTGCTACATAGTCCTTAGTTTTTAATGTCAGTATATTTCATATAGCAATATATGAGAAATCTAATGTCAGAAGTACCAACTTGGGCTAAAACAGGGGATGTAGAGGTATGTTACAGGAGCTCCAGGCAAAAACTGAGCTTCAGGAAGAAACTGGAACCAGGAGCCAGAATGCCATCAGAACTTTCTTTCCCTGTGTGTCGGCACATTAATTTCCTTCATAGTGTCAGTAAAACATAGTTACTTTATTGTCAGCTATTCTTTTTTTAAGATTTTATTTTTAAGCAATCTCTACACCGAACATGGGGTTCGGACCCACAACCCCGAAATCAAGAGTCACACACTCCACCAATTGAGCCAGCCAGGCATCCCAGCCCCACTGTCAGTTTCTTAATGTTAAATCTTTGCAGTAGATATTCATCTCTCAAAATACTACAGTATTTTTTGTTTCAAAGTAAATAAATATTTCTGTTTTCCGTGTATAGCATGCAGATAACAGGTATGATACGGCTGTGCATAAATTGGAAGTTAATACATCTGGAAAGCATTGTATAACCTATAAAGCACCATACAAGTGCCTGTTGCATTCCTTCAGAAAATAGCAAAATAAGATATTTATAAAGGCTAATAATAAAAATATAATATCCACAAAGGATTTTCTGTTATTTGTGAACCTAGGCTATAGTATACAACTTGGAATTTTATCTATGCCCTTATTTTGTTTTGCAGGGTATATGCAAAAAAGTAGAACACAGTGAGCAAGCAGTAGAGAAACTGCTAAAGGATGTACACAGATTGAAACAGGAAATTAAAAAAAGAAAACAGGCACAAATTCAAGCAGCACGTAAGTAAAAAGTTCACACATCACTGCCTTCTGCACTTTAAAAAAAAATCCCCACTAAACTAACTGATGAACTTACCTACTTCAGGATTAAAAATAATTGTTTTATTAATATACTCTTAAATCTTAAAGCACTTGGTACTATTATAGCTTTACTATACTCTTGATATTAAAAAATACAACTTAAATTCCCTTTTAGAATATAGTGGAATATAAATTAGAATTTGGGATTATGCACATCATTTTTCCTCAATTTAGAGGATTTGATAGAACTATTCAGTTAAGATCTTTTTGACTTTACTTAACAAATAGATCACTACAAAAGCTTAGTAAAACAAATGTCATACATTGAACTGATAATTTTATTTTGTTTAGGAGAGACCGTCGAAAAAGACCCTCAGGAGAACATTTTTCTCTGTCAAGCTTTACGGACCTTTTTTCCAGATTGCGAATTTCTTCATTCATGTGTTATCTCTTTGAAAAATAGGCATATTTCTAAAAGTAGCTGTACTGCCAACCACCATCTCGATGTGATAGACAACCTGACCTTGATGGTAGAATACACCGACCTTCCTGAAGCTAGTCCAGCTAGCAGTACACTGCAAACAATTAAACGTAAAGCTTTAGATACCGACGATGGATGGCAATTCAAAAAGTCACGGCTGTTAGAGACACAAAACAAACCATCTAAAACAGATACTGATAGTAGCAATCCAGAAAAAGCATCTACATTGAGCAGCCCTGAAACAGATGAAGAGATTGAAAAAATGAAGGGTTCTGGTGAATATCCACAGTCTCCTACATTTTGATCCTTTTAGGCCAATAGGAGATTTTTGACTGGCTAAAGGGTAAAGCCAGATATTTATACTGTCTCTACAATGTTCAGCTGTTTGCAGTGACATATAAATTCTAGTGCATTTATTTTTTAAAGCACTTTACTTTAAAAACCTTTTTTTTGCCTCCCACCTTTTGAAAGATTTTATTTTTAAGTAATCTTCTCTGCACCCAGCAACGAGCTCAAACTCACAACCCCAAGACCAAGAGTCACACACTCCACTGATCAAGCCAGCCAGGGGCCCCTTTTACAAAACTGTTGAGGGAAAGGCTTAATTTAAATAGATATTCTTTTAAACTCATATAGCATACTTTAGAATCAGAAAAGAAAGACTAGCATTAGAACATAATAGAAAAGGAAGATGTCTAAAGGTAACATGAAAAGATACGTTTTTATTTAAGTCATTACAGTTTCTACTCCTTAAGTTATAAGTGGCTAGAGTTGCCAGATAAAATGCTGGAAACATGCAATATTAGGGACATTCATTAAAAAATTATTCATTGTTTATCTGAAATTCAAGTTTAATTGCATGTCCTATGTTTTTATTTGCTAAATCTGGCAGATCTGATTATGGCACAACTATAATACAGCACAAACAATCCCTCCCTAGTCGAGTCCTCTACACAAAATTGAGTGAATCCAGTATTTGAGTACAGGACAAGCCTGGTAATGCAGTGTGTCTGAGGTCAGCAGCTGGTCCAGTAGCTAAAAACGGGGGATACGCCTAGGTGGCTCAGTCGGTTAAGCATCCGACTTGGCCTCAGGTCATGATCTCACAGTTTGTGGGTTCAAGCCCTGCGTTGGGCTTTGTGCTGACAGCTAGCTCAGAGCTTGAATCCTACTTCAGATTCTTTCTCTCTCTCTCTCTCTGACCCTCCCCTGATCACACTGTCCCTCTCTCTCAGAAATAAATAAAACATTTTAAAAAAAGGTAGCTAAAAACACCAGTTAAAGTGGGAACCAAAAATGGTGCATATGTGTATATACATATGTCTATCACAGATTTCATTTTAACATAAAGTAGAGCGTACATTCATTTTGTCAACCTTGCGTTGTTGGGCTAGGAACTTTTCTAAGAGTATACTGGTGTTCCTATATAAGTCACATTCATTACTTAATTCCCAGTTTCTTTAAGGAATTTAAAGAAATTTGCGAAGCAACCTAAGTACAAAATGCTACTTTTTTTTTTTTCATTTCACAGCATCCTACTTCTACCCTTCTTCAGTTGTCCTAATCACACTTAACTTGACAATTATCTTTCTTTTTAATGTTTTATTTTTGAGAGAGAGACAGAGCTCAAGCAGAGGAGGGGCAGAGAGAGAGGAGATACAGAATCAGAAGCAGGCTCCAGGCTCTGAGCTGTCAGCACAGAGATTGATGTGGGGCTTGAACTCATGAACTACGAGAGCATGACCTTAGCTGAAGTGGGACACTTAACTGAGCCAGCCACCCAGGCACCCCGACAACTATTTTCTTAAAGCTAGTTATTGTAAGTCTTTTGAAAGTGCTTACTTAGTTTTAATTGCAACAGTAACTCTCTTTCCAATGCTCCTACTTCATCAGGACAGTGACAAAACTGACAACAGATTTGGGAACAAAATAGCTGACTCTTGGCAATGCAGAACTCAAGAGGTTTGAAGAGTCATCGGCTTCAGTATATTTGAGGATGTAAAGCCCCAGTTGAATCTGGTGAGCTGGTTAAATGAGGTTGGCTAAGAGCTTTTACTGTGTGTTTTTTGTATTTGTCTTTTATAGAATTGTGAGAATTTTCCACAAAGCCTACACACATTATGAGAAGCCTTCATGATTCATTCACTGGATGAAATGCTGAACATACACTTTGACCATAGCTTTTCCATCTGCTACTTCCTAAGTGACAGAACCAATTCGTAGCTACTATCAAAATTATCTTCTATCTATGTTACCATGTATTAGTTACCTTGGGGTGCTAATGAAGCCCACATTAACAACAGAGATGTTTTGTATAAATAATGAGTTTCTGTTGGGGCTGTTTAACTGGTCACCTAACAAGCACTGTGGTGTAACAGCCCAGGGCAGAGGGAGGGGAAGTAGGTTGGCAATCTGAAACCTGACTTAAAAATAACCACAAACAGGTGCCTCAGTCGGTTGAGTTTCTGACTCTTGATTTTGGCTCAGGTCATGATCCCAGGGTTGTGGGATCGAGCCTTCTGTTGGACTCTGCACTGAGCATGGAGCCTGCTTAAGATGGCCTTTCCCTCTGCCCCTCTCTCCTGACTCACACACTGAAAAATTTAAAAAAGTAATAACCACCACCACATCAGCAGAGCATATAGAGGGTCACATAGAAAGTAATGACTAAATGCAACCAATAAATGAACTGCCAGAAGCCACTGAGCACACGTGATCTGGTTTACCTGCAAGCTGGACTGAGACAAAGGTTCCTCACCCCCTCCCATCCTGGAATGTACACTTTGCCTACTGTTCCCACATTGGGCGTGTTCCAAGAACATAGCCTTGAGAAAGTAAGGTGCTGAGACCATATGGATTGTGTGTGACTGAACCCAGTTAAGGCCTTGATATAAACTTTTAAGACTCTTGCCAGACAGGTGCAGAGATCTGTTTTTCTTAGAGATCTATTTGTCCTGTGGTCACCCAAGACAAGCTTTGTAAGCTCTCTTGCTTATTAAGCTGCTACCTACCAATCTGAGGTGGTCTGCCTCTTTAGTGTTTCCTTGACTTCCATGTACCAGTCTACTAATCAACAGATAAAACAAGCTAGACTAGGACTGGCAGAAGCAATAAGCAACCAACGTATGTAAATGTGTTTTGAAGACAACAGCTTAAGAGTTTTCAGACACCTTACAAGAAACAGGCCTTCATACAAAGTTCAGTTTGCTAAAGCACTATCGAGAGGTAATGTATTTAGCTCATACTTTTGCACACTGATCCATCTTACATGAAAGCAATACTAAACTTTCAATCATAGAGAAGTTTGCTAAGGTCAGTACTGGCTCAACTTCCATAATTAAGTTTGATGACCCACCTTTCAGGGTATTAAATGAAAAGAAGGAAAAGGGTCCTTATAGATCATTCTCCCCTAGTTACTCTCATCTTTTGGCAATTAGTTCCTATCCCTAGAGTAAGATAAGATGATAATACTAGACTATTTGCCCATGGATCATTTTAAAGTACACTACCAGTTTCAAGATGGACTGACTAGCCCAGGAATAAGTTAGGACCTGTGACCACACCACTATCCACACCTGTATAGCTGACATCTCTACAAGGGGAAGCCCTGCGGTAGCCAGGTATACTTACATAGTGCTAGTGAGAAAATCGGAGCAACTGCAAGCCCACACTCTGTCACATGGAGTTAGTGCGTGCATACAAGCATTCCACCTGCATGCAATCATATGCCTAAAATTCCATTTACGAGACAATCGGGGCCTAAAGCAAAATCCCAGTATAAGTCCTCCATTCCATATTTAAAGTCCCAATGTGAATTGTATATGGTATGTGCTAACTGGGGACCAGATAAAGTGACAATCCTACAGTACCAATTTTTAAAGTTTGTATGTATGTAAAATGTAATGAGTATTAGCATTTTAAATAATCTGTTTAATGAGCAGTGGAAAGGAAACACTTTTTCCTTGTTAAGCTCGCACTTATTGAGAATTTAAAACTTAAAGCATTTGGTAAGATTTAGCCTATTTTCTACTCAAAGGTTATAAAATCTTGTAATTTGAGTCAATATTAAACCATACAACCATTTATTGTAAAATATGTTTATTGATGGTAAGACATGTAATTTACTCCCGATACTTGATGTTACAAACTTTAGGGTCTTTGAGATATGCAGGATCCTTATATGTAACTGGCATAAACCCTGAAAAAAAGGTAATGAAAGTTCTTCACAAAAGATAATCAGCAAAAACTTCATTAGCTCAATTCAGTTTTTCAGATGCTCTTACCCATTATTTGAGCTCTCTTAATTGCTTTTGTGATTTCTTTCTGTTTCTTCCCACAAAGACCTATAAAAGAAATGCTTTCATATTCATTAAGAAATGTCAGCACTCATAATGCAGAACAACTATTTTAAGGAATGGTTGGAAAACCTGAAAACAGCAAGGGAGTAAATATCCTAGGCTTTGCGGCCATACTGTTATTGTCATAATTAGTGTGATGTAGCTCACAAAGTGGCTATAGCCACTAAAGTAAGCCATTTACAAAAACAAGTGGCAGATCTGACTTGGCCTAGAGGCAACAGGCCCCTGGTTTAAATAAATAGGAATATTATAGTATACTCCAAAACACCAATGCATTTTCTTCAGCCCTAATTTTTGTACATGTCTGCCTGTAAACTCTGAGCATAAGAAGACTTACGTAAAATGATAACCCTTTTGGCCTACAAAGAGGCTTTCTCAAAGTACACGTCATATCTGGTCTAATAGCAAAATCTGAAATCTGCCATTTTTCTTAAATAACAAGTAGATTTACCTAATTTTTATAAGTTGCTATAATAGAAAACAAAATACCTGTTATGTGCCTTCCATAAATGCATCCAGTAAATGGAGATATAAACTGCGACAAAAGCTGTTTTGAATTTAATTTGGAGGAGAAAAAAAATTTTTATCAATACAATTATTCAACTTTGAGTAAATTAAAAAATGTATATATAAACTGTCAAGTTATGTAAAGGTTTATTAATAAATTTCAGACAAAATTCATAAAATATAAATACTGAACTATGTCCATTCTATTAATAGATCATCTTTTTAAATGAAAAAGCTAATTACCAAAGTTAACATCTCTCATCCAGTGTGTCAAAAAAAAGTCTATACAAAAGCTTAATGAGCACTTGTTTTCAGTGCTAAACCTGTTTTCTTGACTTCCACAGATACTTTCCTAAAATACTATGCTTAAAACAAGGCATGAAACATTTCATGTATCATGAGAGTTTGTCACATTATTCTAGCAGTCTACAGTGGGGTCTTCAACAGGTACTTCAAGCTACTTGCCATACTTTTATGTTTTATTAAATTCTTCTTTAGTGCTTTTCAGGTAGCAGGCACTGTTCTGGCACTACGCACAATCCTCCTGATATGCTTTAAATTGAATGGTTTTGCTCCTAAGGCAGCTATCACTTGATGCTACTGTCAGGATACTTAACCCCAGAACCATTCTTGCCCCTAATTTGCCACTTTTAATTTGCTGAGCCCTGGACAACAGACAAAAATACATTTGAAGCGGTGATGTTGGTAGTGTATCAGTACAGAGATCAACTTCAGCAGAGGAGCTTTTTCCAAACTGTTCAACTCTACCAAGAATCCCTGCATAACAAGCTACTGTTAAGACCTTTAAGGTAGAGGGAAAAAGAGGAAGAAACACTGAGCTGAAATAATAGTAGATGAGGGAGAGCCAAAGGGCTCTCAGTTGAATAAAAGAGATGCCTTGTACATAGAAAACCAGATTTGAAATTCTGAAGTTACTACAACAGGTGGCTCTACACAAAGCCTGTTATAAAACTGACTTGATTCTCTTTAGTTATGACTAACAAAGGAGCAAAAATCCTAAAATCAAGTATCATAGTGAAGTAAAACCATATCTTACCTGTACATTCTTATAATCTACACGTTTTCCACACAAGATACACTTTTTAAGAGGCTCTTTATAAGGATTTTCCATTGGAATGGGCTAAAATAAAGGAAAGAAAAAAATCTGATAATACAGTTTAATGTGTTCATTTTAAAATAAAAAATTAAATCCTAAGGTCACCACATTTGAATCTATCAGAAGGATTAGTTGTACCTTTCTTAATATAAAAATAAATACGATAGCTTGGCTTGTAGAAGAAAAATCAGGGTTTCTAAAAACGGAGTCACTATTTTAAAGATTTCAATGTGTTCATACAATTTTGTACATGTACTTTGGTTTGGCTAAGGAGGAATTAAATCATGCAGGAGGATTCTGGGATAGAATACAATCTCTGTTTATGGGAAGATACCTTTCATGGCCCCAAAGTGCTTTATATGTCAGCCTTTTTGGTTTTTCTGTCTTTACGACTACCTCTAATGCTCTGTCACAATGCCTCCCTTCTATAATCAGTATAGGTATGGCTCCAATCACGACATTCTTACCTAGAAATGGCTTTGAAGTCCTTACCCCCTGTAGTTGCATGCAAAATTTCAACTGAATGAGACTGAGCTTTTTTCTGAAAGCCCGTATTTCATTAGTGCCTCAGGGTAATTTATGACCTATAAAAGAGCTCTAGTAATTTCCTTTACTCTCTTGAACTATGGTGTGCATCAGATGACCAGGAAGGACGCTTAAGGGACTAGAGTCCGGTTTTCAACCTTTCAGACTTTCTTAATCCAATTTAGATGCAGTGCACAGGTAATGATTACGTACGTTCCTTGTCTACACTGTGCTAAATGTTCTGTATGGTTTGACTACTGTCAAATCATCTTTGCATATAGCAGGAAAACCTATACTGGCCAAGCCCAAAGCTAATACTTGAAAACCATAAAAATATATCTACAGGCTAAAAGAAACTGTATTTAATGTCCTGGTGTAAAACTTTAATTCTGATCACTCATTTATGAAAACCCCGAACCTATTCCCCCAGTAATGAATGACACAAAGAACTGTATCTGAAATGGGGAACAGACTTTGTTGAATTCCTCTCTTGGATATTCTGCAATTACTGCACCCACCAAAACTACCTTTTTTAATTTCTAAAGCATATATCCTTAAATTTAAGATCTAGGAAGAAAAGTATGGTCTTAACACAAATGATGCTTCTTGTAGGACTCTAGAAATTCTCTTACTTCAAAGTCCACTTAAGTGCTGATTCACCAATGAATTATAATTTTCAAACTTTGATTATAAATTGTTTTCTCCTCCAGCTGCACTTTATTCAACTAGCTAAAATATCATACAAATTTGCTCATATTTGCACATGCCTTAAAAAGGAGAAGAAAAAAAGCCTTACCAGGTCCTCATTGCTGGCTACCTGCGTATATTGTGAACAAGTTCTCCACAGCACTGCAATTAAACAAACAGAAACAAACCAATTCTTTTTGTTAGCGCAGCAACTAAAGAAAGATTTTTTATTTTTATGGAAGCAAGGTGAATCAAGGGATACAATATAAAAGAAAGTTTTGGAGGCACCTGGGTGGTTCAGTCAGTTAATCGTTGACTTCAGCTCAGGTCATAATCTCGAGGCTCATGGGTTTGAGCCCCAGGTTGGGCTCTGTGTTGACAGCTCAGAGCCTGGAGCCTGCTGGATCGTGCGTCTCCCTGTCTCCCTGCCCCTCCCCAAATCATGCTGTCTCTCTCTCTCAAAAATAAACATTAAAAATTTTATTTAAAAAAAGTTTTATATTCACAAACACGACTGGATAAAAACCTTTAGAAGTGACGCAGAGTAAGACATGATGAATATGCTTTCCAAGGCTTTGGGGAAAAGGCATATATTTCTCCACCCCTACAACGTCTCGCCTGCTCTCTTCCTGAAATTTATTTTCACTTCACTCCACGGTTAGAGACAGATTTTAATGGAAATAACGGGAAGGCAACAGAAAGGCACTGTTACACCAAGGGAAAATGTAACAGACCTCCTAAAGAGAGTAACTGGCAGAGAAGATAACGTGCAGAAATGACAGATTCGAGAACCCATGTCACCATTTCGCCCTGATCTGAAACCGTAGACATCCCCTGTAATCTGCTGCTGGGTGACTCTGGAAATGTACCTTCCGTACCCACTGTACCCAGAGCTCTCAGGCAAGTACTCTTGAGAATCACGCGATCACTCTCTTCGTGTGTTTAAAAAAGTGTACTCGACGACAATCACGCACCCTTCTGTCGTAAAATACTAGTCCCGGGCCATATATAGTCCCACCTATCCTGGAGAAGGGCTTAATTGCCTAGAAACCGGCGTCGTTTGGCTAATAGGGACCACTCCACCAACGTAATTAGGGGTGACGCTACCGCTGCAATGCCCCAAAAGAGCACAGGATATGGAAACTTTACCCGCGTGAGCCTTAGAATCTCTGAGGCAGAGAGCTGGCTTTATGAAGTACGCCAACTTTTTCCTCCCTAGACCACTGCAAACAGCAACCAGCGCCGCCATGGATCCTGGCTCCTCCTCTTCCTTTCCTGTTTCCAGACAGTCCTGACAAGTCGCCTCCGGTGCTCTCCCCTGTTGGCCCGAATACTCGATTCAAAGGTTCCGCTGGCGAACAGAAGTGGGTAAGGTTTTCAATGCGCCTGCGCAGCACCTTCCAGTTCAAACCTTCACAGGCGTAAGCCTGGGACACCTGTGATTGGACAAGGAGAAGGCGGGACCCTATGCTCGTGCCGCCGCTTCCGGTCTGCTAGCGCCCGGCAATTGATTTGCGATCCTATCCTGAGGTGGATGGAGAGGCGAGCGGGGTTCCCTCTCATTTGCTACCCTCGCCCAGTTCCCCACTCCCTCTTCCACGGGGGGTTGGCGGCTGGGTCACGCGGGACGAAGTTCGGGCGGGGTCCTCAGCCCCTGCCATGGATGAAGGTGGTTCCCGCATCCGCCGGCGGGTTGCTGTCCGCAAAAGGAACCGGCCCACCCTAGAGAGCATCTTTGCCGCCTCCACCGCGGCCGAGCTCCAGCCAGGCGATGAAGAGGAGGAGGAAGAGGAGGAGGAGATGACGGCTGGGAGCCGGCGGAAGAAAACCGCGGAGGTGCAGCCGGTCGAGGTACAACCTCAGCTCTCAGATTCCCAAAGTTCCTTGTCTCACTGTATATTTTTGGAGCCATAATATAAACCCAGGTCTCCTATCGCGCCTGCCCACTGAAAGGCTTCGGGAGACGAGCTGTAGAAGTGATGGAACGTGAAACTTCAAAATTTTGGCAGTTCCTTTCCTAGATGCAAACAGTTGACCAATTATCTACTAGTCTTCATTTGCTTACTTCGTCTTTGTTATCAGTTAATCCTCACTTGTGAGGTATTAATTGCTTTGCTAGCCTCATTTTTTTAAAATAAGTTTGAAAGTCATACATGCAAATAAGCGGCATGACTGAGATGCACATCTAGATACCCAGGTTACTGCTGTTCCTCCTGAACTAATAGAATGTGCCATTTATTGGACATTCATTATGTGCTGAGTACTTTGTTAAGCTATTTGTATTATCTTGATTTTACAACAGAAATCAGGCCCTGAGAAGTTAAGAAAAAACACTATTTTCTTTAATGTTTATTTACTTTTGAGAGAGAGAGAGCATGAGCAGGGGAGGGGCTGAGAGAGAGTGGACACAGGATCTGAAGTGGGCTCTGTGCTGACAGCAAAGAGCCTGATGTGGGGATTGGGGATCAAACCCACCAACCATGAGCTCATGACTGGAGTGAAAGTCAGACACTCAACTAACTGAGCCACCCAAACCGCCCCACACCCAGCAAGAAACTGCATTTCTGACTTCAGATCTTGTCTTATTAAACACTTCACTGTACTGCTGTCTAAATTTACATCTCTTCTGTTTAGTGGATCATCCCAAGTCAGTATACAGACCCTCCCTTTCAATTCCAAATTCCTAGGAACAGAATTTCCTTGGAATGTCCAGTGGTACAAACATGGTTCTATTACAAGCCGATCTCTATAGATTGCAGTGTGGGAGGGGAAGAGGTGCTGCAGTTACCAGAAACATCTAGTGAGATGACATTCCAATAGATGTCTATTGGTCTTGCTACCTTTTTTTATTTATTTAATGTTTATTTATTTTTGAGAGATAGAGAAAGACAGAGCTTGAGCCAGGGAGAGGTTGAGAGAGAGAGGAAGACACAGAATCCGAAGCATGCTCCAGGCTCTGAGCTGTCAGAGTCGGACGCGGGGTTCGAAACCACAAGCTGTGAGCAGAAGTTGGATGACCAACCGACTGAGCCACCCAGGTGCCCTAAGTTCTTGCTACCTTTATAAGGATGTAGCACTGGCTAAATTAGGATCCCAGTATCACCATACACGAGGAGTGCAGTTTAGGCAAATCACTGAAACACTCTGGACTTCCATTTCTTCATCTGTAAAATAGAGATGATAATACCCATTTTATAGGGTGATTTACATTTAGGCGTATGATCCATATAATTATATACCTGGTATAGTCTGAGGCTGAAACTTTTATTCGCATTGAAACTAGAATTGACCGTTAATCTTTTCATTTTCTTTCCAGAATAATGACAGTGAAGAGGACATGTTTGGTTACTCTGATAGCTTTACTGACAACTCTTTTTTAGCTCAAGTTGATGACCTGGAACGATATATGCAGCGTCCTGAACATAGGAAACATGCCTCAGATCTTTCTCCTCAAGATTTTTGTTCAGAAAGCAACAAACACAACAAACTCAGCATTACTACCATAGACAACTTTACCGAATTAAAAACAGATGAGCACACGAACAACCAGAGTAGGCATGAAGATGTCTGTATTGAATCCGAACCTGATCTTTTGTATGATATGCCTTCCTCACAGGTTTTATACTTTGAAAATTTGCAGAATTATTCAAACGATTTGGGCGATCAGTCAACTAAAGAGAGGGATTGGAACTCATCCTCTCACAAGACAATGAATGAGGAATTACCCCAGAACAGCGTTGAACAACACCAGCAAATCAATGATTCCTCTTCTAAAGTCAGAACTAGCTCAGAGGAGAATAGGAGAAAAAGTCTTAAAGAACACCTAAAAAGTGCCATGACTGGAAATGCCAAGGCCCAAACACCAATATTTTCTAAGACTAAACAACTCAAAGAGACTCTCCTATCTGAGGAGATTAATATTGCTAAGAAAACAATCGAGTCATCATCAGATGACCTTGGTCCCTTTTATTCATTACCCAGCAAAGTGAGAGACCTTTATGTTCAGTTCAAAGGAATTGAAAAATTATATGGTAATGCTTTTTGCTGAAATGAAGAAACACCATAATTACCATAATACTTGTGCAAATCAATAGAAAACAGATGCTTCCGTGGTCATGTATCTCATCTTAAGACGAATCAAAATATCAGTTCTCTCTCGAGCCTTCTATCCCCATCCTGCTGCTAACTAAACCTCTTCCCTTCCCTTCATGGTCACACTTCTCAACTCTATTATCTTTGCTATCTCCCTTTCCTCACCTCACAGTTCTCAGCCCACTCCAACTCTGGGTTCTGTGCTCTCACTTGAGGTATGACTAGGGTGTCTAAATCCAGTGATGCTTTTAGTTCTTACCTGACACAAATAACCAGACCCTTGAAACACTGACTTCTTGACGTTCCACTCCTGGTTTTTTCTCAGTTTTCTTAGCTGGTGTTTCCTTGGCTGGCTCTTCTCTACCCAAACTTGAAATTCCTTTTACTACTCATGTCTTAAATGACAGCGTCAATCAATATTAGTAATACCATCGATTAAAACTAAATATCTCTAAAGACAGCTGAAGTATGGAGTTAAGCACAAAGAGGGGCACGTGGGTGGCTCAGTCGGTTAAGTGTCCGACTTCGGCTCAGGTCATGATCTCACGGTTTGTGGGTTTGAGCCCCCCGTCGGGCTCTGTGCTGACAGCTAGCTCAGAGCCTGGAGCCTGCTTCGGATTCTGTGTCTCCCTCTCTCTCTGACCCTCCCCTGCTCACGCTGCCTGTCTCTTTCTCAGAAATAAAACATTAAAAAAACTGTTTTTTTTTTTAATAAAAATAAAAGAGTTAAGCACAAAGAGATAGTATTAATAGCAATATATGTCATAATGTTCTTCAAAGATCTGGGGTCCTTGCATATAGTTCAGATATGTGTCATTTTAGACAAAGAGACAGTTTCTACCATCCTCAGAGACGAGCCTGCCCACCAATCACTTCATAAGCATTTCTGAAACTCCTGTGTTAGTACCTTATGAACCATACGAAAACATGATTCTCTCAGGGAGGAGACAATCAGGTGAAGAAGTAGAACTGCAGGACACAGAGTCTAATATAAGACTAGAGAGTCTAATAAATTCTAAATTGTGGGGTTTGCAGTTAAAGAGCTAAAGGTGTGTATTGCCCTTGAAGCAGGCATTCACTCTCTTCCATCTGCTTTTCTCCTAGCTCCCTGAACACAGGGCTCTCTCTAACTCATCTTTTTCTTACATAACTGGCACTGTGCCTGGTAGGCTCTGGTTGGTTCTCAACTGCTAGGGCCTAGCCCAGTTGTGAATTCTGACCTTGTCACTTAAACCCAAGTTTTGCACTCTGAACCTTAGTTCCTGGCCTATTAAAAAGTAAGTAACGATAATAGTTGTTTTGCAGGTTACGTTCTGCATCAAGGACATATGAAATTACACTTGAGTAATGACCGTCAATAATTATATTGGTAGCTTCTAAGGAAGAACTTCAGCAAATGACAAGTTTTTAAACCTTTTTACTTACTAATCTGGTTTGATGACCAATTTAAAACATAAATAGGTGTGTCATTTTTCATTGTGCTAAAGTAGTGTTTTCAAAGTGTAATTCCTGGACAACAGAATCAGCATCACTTGGAAACTTGTTGAAGTAAGTATTCTCAAGCTCCACCCTAGACCTACTGAATCAACCTCTGGGGGTGTGACCAGCAATTGGCTTTGACAAGCCCTCCAAGGGATCCTGGTGTGCCGAAAGTTTGAGAACCGCTGAGCTGGAGACCCTCAACCTTACACTGTTATTTTTGCTTTTTTATCATAGAATTGCATGTTTAATGTGTTTTATATAAGTGCTGAGAACTCAGTTAATCATTTTTTAATGTATGAAGATAAGTGATATTACTAAGGATTTGTTATTTTGGTCATTTTACACTTTAACAATCTGAGATAAAATGTGGATATGGTCAAATTGTATTTTTGCACAGATACCTGTAGTTTCATATATAATGGGTAATACCAGCCTATATTTAATATGTAAGTATTAAATATTAAACATAAGTATTTTTGAAATATTTTTATTCTTAAATGTTTATTTAGTTTTGAGGGGGAGAAGGAAAGGATAGAGAAGAGGGAGACAGAGAATCCCAAGCAGGCTCTGCTGTGTCAGCACAGAGCCTGACAGCCCCACATGGGGCTCAGACTCACAAACTGAGATCATGACCTGAGCTGAAATTAAGAGTCAGATGCTTAACCAACTGAGCCACCAAGGTGTCCCTTTTGAAATATTTTTAAAGTGAAAAGTCCTTTGCAAATATTTGGGAATCACCAAAATGCAAGAAAGTAGTCATTTGGCTGTTATTCAGATGTAACTTTTTGAGGCTTTATAATATATCTTATTAGCCATACTTTTGTATTTATTTATTTTTTGGAAAATGTAATACATTCAAGTCCAACTTTTCTATGTCTATATTATTTTCTAATATTCTGTACATAATTGGCTAGTTATAATCTAACACACATTTATCTTTCATTTGAGCATGTATAAATCAGTCTACCACCTGCTTTCAAGCTGCAAAGAATGATATATGATTGCAATAATTTATTCAACCTTTACCCTTTGATGGCTCTTGCTGTGATGAACATCTTGCACATAATCTTTAAATACCCTTAATTTTATTTTTGCAGGTGTAGAGACCTAGAAATAATACTACTAAATCAAAGACAGTGTGCAGGGCTGGGTTTTTTTTTTTTTTAAGTTTATTTATTTATTGGGGGGGGGGGTGGGCCTGGGCGGCTCAGTGGGTTAGGCATCCGACTTTGGCTCAGGTCATGATCTCACGGTTTGTGGGTTCAAGCCCCACATCAGGCTCTGTGCTGACAGCTAGCTCAGAGCCTGGAACCTGTTTCGGATTCTGTGTCTCCCTCCGTCTCTGACCCTCTCCTGCTCACGCTGTCTCTCTCTCTCTCTCAGAAATAAATTTGAAAAATATATATATTTATTGGGGGGTGAGGGGCAGAGAAAGGGAGAGAAAGTATCCCAAGCAGGCTCTACATTATCAGCACAGAGCCTGATGGGGGACTTGATCCTGCAAACCAGAAGATCTTGACCTGAGGCAAAATCAAGGGCCAGACACTTAATTGAGCCACCCAGGCACCCCTAAAAAGATGATAGTATTTTATGCTCTTATCAACCACACATAAGAATGTCTCTTTGTCGGGGTGCCTGGGTGGCTTAGTCAGTTAAGCAGCCAACTTCAGCTTAGGTCACAATCTTGTGGTTTGTGGGTTTAAGCCCCATGTTGGGAGCCTGCTTCAGATTCTGTATTTCCATCTCTCTCTGACCCTCCCCTGTTCATGCTATGTGTGTCTCTGTCAAAAATAAATTTAAAAACATTTTTAAAAATTAAAAAAAAAAAAAGAATGTCTCTGTCCCCAGTCAGCTCTGGCTTTTATATGTGTGGTGCTACTTTTTTTTAGTAGTTACTTGTATTTTATTTGCGTATTTATTTTGCCAACCCAATAGAATGCCAACAGTGCCAACCCAAATGAGAATCTTTTCATGTATTTGTTAGCCATTTGTATTTCTTCCTGCTGTGAAATGTCTTATCATATTTTTTGCCCGTTTTACTAGTGATTAGGTACTGATGCACATTTTACAAACCTTTAATGATCTGCATTGTCAGATTATTCTACAGAGTAGTTACTCAAGTTTGCACAGGTATTTTGGATCTGATTTGATCCTTTTCATGAATTCCACCTTGCTACGTTGTGGAATTCCTAGAGATACCAGTTAAGAATTCTAGTCCTGTGGTTTCAGTATTAGAGTTCAAAATGGTATTCAGGCCAGAGTTCAGCTTTCCATAAAAGCCAGTTGAATAGCCTTTCTAGCCATGTATAAAACCTCATTTTCCCCCTCCTTCCTCTACTTCCCTCTAGGATGTTGTTTGGGTAGACGAGAAAGGGAAACACACAATCTCCTTGCAGAACATGAGAGCAAAGCATTAGAATTCACACAGATCTTTGTACTGTCCTTTAGCTCCTCCGATGGCTCAGGTGATGCCCTCTACCTGCTCTGTTAGAATCTTAGACCTAAGGGTGCAGCCGGTAAATAGGTGGCCTAGTCGCCCACTCCTCTGCCCAGGCCTGAATTAGAATTAGACTCAGTGGCTTGTCCATAGAGTACTTCGGGATGTTTGACATTTAACAAGGATGTATAATGAGAAGATTGATACACACAGTGGGATTTGGTTTTTCCTTCTTAGAAAAGTTTCTTAAGACAATTATAGAAGGGGAAAGTAATGCTTTTTTTTTTTAATTCCGCAGAATGGCAACATACTTGCTTAACACTGAATTCTGTGCAAGAAAGAAAAAACTTAATATATTCCTTGCCAACGAGTGGCGGAAAAACCCTCGTTGCTGAGATTTTAATGCTACAGGAACTGCTTTGCCGACGGAGAGATGTTCTAATGATCTTACCATATGTGGCAATTGTCCAAGAAAAGGTGCAATTTTTTTTTAACAAGCAGTATTTGCTAACATTTTCATATTAAGATAGAAAAGCTACCATGAATGTAACAACTATTTTTTTTAAGTTTAAATTTAGTTTTGAGAGAGAGTTGGTGGGGGAAGGGGGAGAACAGGCGGGTGAAGGGCAGAGAGAGAAAGGAGACACAGAATCAGAAACAGGCTCCAGGCTGTCAAACACAGAGCCCAAAGCGGGACTCACTCACAAACCATGAGATCATGGCCTGAGCTGAAGTCGGACACTTAACCCACTGAACCATCCAGATATTCCTGTAACAACTTTTCATTGACTAAGAAGAGGTATTTCTATTAATGATGGAGAATTAATACTTTTTAGGATGTGCAAAGCAGTATGTTGGACCTACCAAAAGTCTTTTCTACTACTCGTTGCCTCTTGAAAGAAGAATTTTATTTCCTAAACTGGTGGATTAAACTCCATTGTAAAAGTTCTGTTGATATTTAGCCTGCCTTTTCAAGCAGAAAGTAATCGATTATTTTATCAAAATGAGTTATGCGGATTTTCTTTAAATCAAGAGGAGACATTTGAAATTTATCTTCACTTTGACTATGTAGTTTAAAAGCTGCGTTCATTTTGCAAAGAGCCACACAGGAATTATAACATTTCTTAGATATATGTGCCTTATCTGTGACCTTGTTCTCATTCATTGGTATTACATACTGTTTAAGATTTTTAAAAAATAGACATGAGCTCTTAATGAGTTAATTATCTAATTTTTTTGCTTATTTTAAATGATATTCTAGATTTCAGGTTTGTCAAGTTTCGGTATAGAACTGGGTTTCTTTGTTGAAGAATATGCTGGAAGCAAAGGCAAGTTTCCCCCAATTAAAAGAAGGGAAAAAAAGTCTCTCTATATTGCCACAATTGAAAAAGGGCATAGTCTGGTGAACTCCTTGATTGAAACTGGAAGGATCGGCAGTCTGGGTCTGGTTGTTGTAGATGAGGTTGGTAGCTACGTTTATAGTTTACCAACATTTTATTAATAATTATTTTATAATTATATTTTATTAATAATTAATAGACAATACAAGTGAATACATTTCATGTTTAGTAATTGTAAATTTGGTTTTGTGTTAAGTGTTTTTTGAAGAGTGAATGTATGTGTATGTGTATATTCAGTTTTATAATGACAGTTATGAATTCCAGATGTGTCAGGATGTTGCCCCCAAACCTCATTAACATAAAATCTCAGTAGTACAATGCATATGTATTCTAATTGCCATATCCAAAATGCTTAAGAGTTCTAAAACAAAGATTACTTGATTGCATATCAATACATGCATGTTCTGTATAGGCATATGCAAATTTACTTTTCTCCCTTTTTTTTTTTTAATCTCAAAGTTGCACATGATTGGTGAAGGAAGCCGTGGGGCTATACTGGAAATGACCCTAGCAAAAGTCCTCTACACTAGCAGTGAGTATTTTTCCAAATATAATTGATTTATACTCAGGAAGCTTGTATAAGACTTAATTCTATCATTAGTTAGATTATGTAACATAGAATAAGATACTTAAACATTCTGCATTAGCTTTTTACTTCTTTCCTTTTTTTAAGCCTAGCATTCTGCATTAGTTTTACTTCTTTCTTTTTTTTTTTTTAATCTACTTAGTTTGAGAGAAAGAGAGAGAGAGAGAATGAGCAGGGGAGGGGCAAAGAGGCAGAGAGAGAGAATCCAAAGCAGGCTCCACTCTGTCAGCACAGAGCCCAATGCAGACCTGAACCCATGAACTGTGAGATCATGACCTGAGTTGAAATCAAGAGTCAGATGCTCAACCAACGAAGCCACCCAGGCACCCCTTAGTTTTTTTTACTTCTAAAGTGAACTTACAAACTTTTGTTGGAGGAATCACGAGTAGAGCTGTGAATATGAAGGAAATTAACGTTAGAAGACATTTATGTGATTATCCTCCACTTACTAGCTGTGTGTGCTTAGTTGTGTGACTAAACATTTCCTCATCTATAAAATGGGGATAATAATGGTTCCACCCAGATGGGATGGTTGTGAAGACTATAAGAGTTAACAAGGTGAAGCCTTCAACAATTGCCTAGCACACAGCACTAGCTAAGCGTTTGTTGTTGCCACCACCATCAATATCCTCATCGTCACACCAGTAGCTGCTTTAAGGAGCTATTTGCAACATCAAAGAGTCTTTCACTGTGCATGAAATATTTACTCTAAAAGTCTTTCTACTCATAGATGTGTTGTTGCAAGACTAATTAAGTTATATTTTGCAATAGCTCTTATATGGAAAAGTAATTATAAAGGGCAGATATTAAGAATTATTTAAAAATTTTTGATAGCAATATTATTTAGGCAGGTTGCAGCACTTTATAGTCATTCGTTAAAAGAATTACTGAGTTCCGGGGCACCTGGGTGGCTCAGTCGGTTAAGTGTCCGACTTCGGCTCAGGTCATGATCTCGCGGTTCATGGGTTCGAGCCCCCCACCGGGCTCTGTGCTGACAGCTAGCTCAGAGCCTGGAGCCTGCTTCATATTCTGTGTCTCCCTCTCTCTCTGACCCTCCCCTGCTCATGCTGTCTCTCTCTCTCTCTCAGAAATAAATAAAACATTAAAAAAAATTACTGAGTTCCTACTTTGTGCCAGACACGCTATTTTAAGTGCTGAGGATACAGCAGTGAATGACACAAAGTCCCGGCCTTGATTGAACCTATAATTTAGTGAAAGTGAGCAGACAGTAAACAGACAAACAAGAAAACATATGGTGTATCAGATGGTGACAAATTCCATGGAAAAAATAAAAAGCAGAGGAAGAGAGGCGAATCGTCACCTACTTGTCAAACCTAGTGTACACTGGCTGTCCTTGCCTTATTTTTCTTCAGCATTGGGTTGTTTATCATTCTTTTTTCCATTAGGTGCTGAAACATTCTCTCTTGGTTTCCCTACTGTCTCTCTGTAGAGGGGACCATGTGTTACCACTGGGAGATAGCATAGCATTGTGGCTGAGGACAGACTCGAGCTGCAGTAAAATCCTGACTCACTTTTAACGACATATGTGACCTTGAACAAGTTATATTAACTGTGCCTCTGTTTCCTTATGCACCAAAAATAGATGACATTGGGATGGGTAAAATAAGTGAAGGGGATTAAGAGGTACAGACTTACAGTTATAAGATAAATAAGTCATGAGGTTGAAAAGTACAGCATAGGGAATAGAGTCAATAATAATATAATAATGTTGTATGATAACAAATGATAGCTACACTAACCGTGGTGAACAGTGTGTCATGTTTTGAATTGTTGATCACTCTTATACACCTAAAACTAATATAACACTGTATGTCAGCTCTATTTCAATGATAAAAAATTTTTCAAAATGGATGATAGTAATAAAACCTGCCTGAGTTGCTTTCCTGTGGCAAAAAGTTGTCAACCTGATAGCAAAATCCCATAAAGAGTTTTATATAACAAGAGTTCAGGACCTACTCAGCCCTGCATCCTACCCTGTTCATCTGCCTATAGCCCTACCTGTGGAACATGTCATAACTCTTTCTCACAACGGTCCAGATAGTCAGCAACAAGCATATTTATACTCATTATTGTTGCTTAGAAGTCTTGATAAAGATCTGACTTGGCAAGTGTGAGATTCTGTAAAATTCCAAATAGTAACTTTCAGGATCCCTAAAGTTTTCAGTCTTTGATTGCCACAATAATACTCTCATAATATCTTTGTATTTTTCTTACCTCCTCCCCACCCTCCTTTCCCAGATCACTCAGTTAGAATACAGAACTCATAGAGACTGCTAAGGGCACCTAGGTGGCTCACTTAGTTAAGCATCTGACTCTTGACTTTGGCTCAGGTCATGATCTCGTAGTTCATGAGTTCAAGCCCCACGACGGGCTCTGCCGTGATAATGTGGAGCCTGCTTGGGATTCTGTCTCCCTCTCTCTCTCTGCCCCTCCCCCTCTTGCACGCTCTCTCTCTCTCTCTCCCCCTCTCCCTCAAAGTAAACAAAAATAAACTTTAAAAATAAAATAAAATTTTAAAAAGGTTGCTAAAATTACTATTATAATACACTAAAAATAATACATTTTCCTCCATCCTTTGGATTTTTTTTTTAGAAACAACTCAAATTATTGGCATGAGTGCAACACTGAACAATGTTGAAGACCTTCAAGAGTTCCTTCAAGCAGAATATTACACCAGTCAGTTTAGACCAGTATGTACCTAAGGTTTGCACTGCATGGATTTGTTATACATCATCTTACTCAGAAAGAAAAGTCGCTGGGGTGCCTGGGTAGCTCAATCGGTTAGGCATCTGACTTTGGCTCACGTCATGATCTCACAGTTCTTGAGTTCAAGCCCCACTTTGGGTGAGCTGGATCCAGCTCCACACTCTCTCTCACCCTCTCTTTCTCTGTCTCTCCTCTCTTTGCACCTCATGGGATTCTCTCTCTCTCCCGCTCTCTCTGCCCCTCCCTCACTCATGCACACGTGCTCCCTCTCTAAGGCTCTCTCTCTCAGAAATAAACAAATAAATAGTTAAAAAAAGAAAAGTAGCTAACATACCATGTAAAAAATACCATGGAGGAGTGAAGGGGTATAATTCCACTCACCAGAGCTAAATGCTAATAAGAGTTTGTGTACAGAGAACATAAACTCTGTGGGGTCAGATCTTAATCTGGGTCACTTGGGTATCTGTAGCACCTGGAACAATGCTTGGCTCCTGGACCTTCAATGAATATTTTTTGAATGAAATTTTCCAGATACATTCTATTTTTCTACTTATTAAAGATTTTTTCATTTGGTCAAAATTTAGTCATTCATGTTTTGAGTTATTGGCATATAAAAACATTATCTTAAAAGTTAAAATGTTTTCATATATTTATGCATTGGTAGTTACAATGCTTTTTTTTTTTTTAATTTTTTTTTTAATGTTTTATTTATTTCTAGGAGAGAGAGAGAGACAGCGTGAGCAGGGGAGGGTCAGAGAGAGAGGGAGTCACAGACTGAAGCAGGCTCCAGGCTCTGAGCCGGCAGTCAGCACAGAGCCCGACGCGGGGCTCGAACCCACGAACCGCGAGATCATGACCCAAGCGAAAGTCGGACGCTCAACAGACTAAGCCACCCAGGCGCCCCAGTTACAATGCTTTTTTAATAAGCTAAGACTTCATGTGGATTTAAGTTTAAACTCTCTAATAACAGTATTCCCAAAAGACTTAAGGAAAGTAAATAAATATAATTCATAATTATCTGAAACTAGCTTATAGTGAACATATGCTCTATCTGCAGTACTCATGTGCATATTCAGTTGTCTAAATAGCTTTTCAGAAAATAATTATTGAGAATCACCAGATTTTATTTTAAAATTTGGTGCTTTTATATTTGCATCAAAAAGTAGAACTTTTGAGACACTTGCTGACCTTAATAGTCAAATTAGACACTATTCTTTTAAAAATGCAGTAAACTGTATTCATAAACATCTTTTGTCTACAAATACTTAAATTAAAAACAATGTGGTGATGTATAGAATTAAAACCGATGACTGATGAGACAGAAAATTATAGATCTTGAGGAATAACACAGATAACTCCTTAATAAAAGACAGAATGTGAACATTGACTTATTTTTACTTCTTGTGACAAATAACAGAACTGTCTGGTTTCCTTTTAGTGGTTAGTCAATTTAGAAGTATTTCTTCAAGAGTATTAATCCCTATTTTGATTGAAAGGGAAAAAGAGACTTAAAGAAATGGTAAAGAAAAAACTTTTAAATTGAATCATGTTTTGCATACCTTAGAAAAGCTACAATTTTTCTATTGCTGTCCTTTTTTACAACATATTTCACAAAATTTTAAACTTGGAAAGAGGAATTTATATATGGTATTAATTGCAAATGTCTTTTTAATGCAAGGTTGAATTAAAAGAATATTTGAAAATAAACGATGCGATATATGAGGTTGACAGCAAAGCTGAGAATGGCATGACTTTTTCACGTCTACTGAATTATAAGGTAACATTAATATCCCTTGAATATGAGGTTCCCAAACTTTGTTTCCCATGCAATGCTCAGTTGTGGGTACATCCTGTTAGCTGGCTATTATGGTTAAGAATGAAATAACAGTATTTTTTTCATTCAGGTGATGTGTACTATTTATTCAAACGGCTACAAAATTGTGAAGAAGTACATACTTAAGTTGTTTGCACCTAAATACCTAATAAACAAAACTGTTAGGTATTTCTTTTGGCCCTAGGGCTCCATGAACCAAGAAAATCTGGAGACCTCTCCCTTAAATGTTTATTCATTCAGTAACAAGCACAAAACAAGAAGAAACTTTTGTGGGCTATGTAGTTCAGACATTGGATATAAAATGTTAATGTCTACTATGTTAATGTTTTTGACTTATAGGAGATGTTAAAAAGAAGACAAAGGGATTTTACAGTAGTTTAGAGTTCCATAAAGGTATATTATTCTAAATCTGTATCTTAGTTTTCAATAAAGTTGAAAGAAGTGAGATTTTTTTTTATTTTTACTTTTTTTTCTTTTATATATAGTTTATTGTCAAGTCGGTTTCCATATAACCCCCAGTGCTTTTAAATAATTTTATATTTTTCTTTTTGTTGAATTCCTTGTGTCTGCTTGATGAATACATATTTAATTTCTGAAAATATATCCTGTAGTGTGATTGAATCTATGCTTTTGAAAACTATTAGTGAAAAGCATTATCTCATCTATGTGGTCCTTTGATCATTATTAGGCTCAATCTGTGTTTCTCTCTGTGGACTTTTTACTTTTGCTGTACTGGAGCTGAACTTGCAGGGGGGGTTATTAATAACGTTTACTCTTTTCATTTCTGTAAATGAAAATAACATTTCTATTATGAAAATAATAATGAACTTAAAACTAAATACACCTAACAAAGCCCTGATAACCTGAAAGTGGGACTTAACATTTTGAAATTTAATCTGGGTTTCTTCTTTTCTTTTAAATGATCAGATTTATTCAATGAGAACTTCAAAATTAAGGATGGCTTATGTGCCTTCCAAAGCACACTGGCAAAGTGACAGGTTTTCATGGTTGCTAACTGTCTTGTTCCTGCATCTTGTTGAACAGTATTCCGAGGCTCTGAAAAAGATGGACCCTGATCACTTGGTAGCATTGGTGACAGAAGTTATTCCCAATTATTCCTGCTTAGTTTTTTGTCCCACTAAGAAGAACTGTGAAAACGTAGCAGAAATGATATGCAAATTTTTAAGCAAGTATGTTAATCTTTAAAAAATACTGTTTTATTTTATCATAATTTACATGCTATATGTTCTGTTTATTCAAAAAGCACTGATTATTTCTTGTAGAACATTATAATAAGTTGCTATAGTCAATTTTAAGGCCCTAACCTTGAAGAAAGTTTAACTGTGAAATTCATATATGTGAAATAGACAAAGAAAAATTCAAGGCTACATGTAAGAGAATGCTGACTGATAGAACAGTTTAGATCAATGATTCTAAACCTTGACTGCAAATGCATCCTCTCAAGGGCTTTTAAACATCCCAGTGCCCAGGTTACATCCCAGAAAATCAGAATCTCCGGGAGTGGGGCCCAGGCATCAGGATTTTGTAAACCTTCCAGGCAGGTTCAGCCTACAACCAACCATATGGTTCAACCACAGCACCCACTGGCTATGGTAGTCAAAGGACCAGTCACTAATCACTGAGGATATGAATCATATCTTTAGCTTAAACTTCTTTGTTATTAAATAATGTTGTCTTTGTTTCCTTAGTAAACTTTACATGTAAGTAAATAAATTTGAATTTGAATTGAATTTCTTAAGTAATTAAGAAACTTATCAGTTTTAACTTTATAGTATTTTAATATTGGCTCTTTTATACTCATAGCAATGAGTATAAAGTGACCTTAAGTATGAACAGTACAGTTTTTTTCTGTATCTTTGTCCCATGTGTAGTTTTATTGCATTTTTCAGACTTCTTTTTGGCTCCTTAGCCAGGGCTGTATCACCATTCATAGACAGTTATTACCCTGGATTCTAATTCAGCCGTCACGTCCCCATCCAGTCCTACTGTCATGGATTGGTCTAATATAGTTAAATTTACTGACCAGAACAGTGATATAGATGTTTAGGATAAAGTCAAGGAGTTTCCCATTTTGGTAACAGTCTGCCTTTACAATGATGACATTGATTATAAAAGCCTAAGGAAATGAAATTATCACTAAGGTAGTCTCAGTAAATCATTAGTTTTCATAGAATAAGAGAATATAGCACTGGCTAAGTGATGCGGATATTTAAGGATTAACATTTGACTGCAAGACATGAGATTTATTAATTATACCCTTGACTTATTTTGCATTTGGTGAAAGCAGTTTATTTGGGTCATAAATGTTGTTTAACAGCAAAGCACTTAAAATTTTGCTTTTCTATAACTCTTAGTTAATGAATTATCGTAGATACTTGATACTTTCTAAAAGAGATAGGACTTAACTGCTTCTCAAGGAAATTGTCCTCTAAAATATATTTTGCATATTACTTGCTGCTCTCATTAGCTGAATGTTCTTAGTATAGTTTAGCACCCCTTTTTTGTGGCTCTTGATTAATCTATAATTTACATGTAGATAATTTACATGTAGATAAAGTAAATCTAGAGCTAAATGGGTTCTAAATGAATATCTTTAAAACATGATTTCTTGAGGAGGGTCTGGGAAGCTCAGTCCATTAAGCATCTGACTTCAGGTCATGATCTCATAGTTCATGAGTTCGAGTCCCACATGAGGCTCTGCACTGACCTCTCTCTCTCTCTGCTCCTCCCGAGCTTGCAACTTCTCTCTCTCAAAAATAAACAAACATTGAAAAACTAATTTAAAAAAAAAAAAAAACAGGATTTGGGGACACCTGGGTCGCTCAGTCGGTTGAGCACCCGACTTCAGCTCAGGTCATGATCTCACAGTTCATAAGCTCGAGCCCCACATCATGCTCACTGCTGTCAGCCTGTCAGCGGAGAGCCTGCTTCAGATCCTCTGTCCCCCTCTCTCTGTCCCTACCCCACTTGCACTCTCCCCCACAAAAAAATAAAAATTATAAAAATTATAAAAAATAAAGATGATTTCTTGAGAGCCCTGTGATATCTACTTGTATCTTAATTATGTGCCTCTTTATCATAAATATCACGGGAAGCTAGTACAGTAAAATCCCCTAAGCAGTAGAATCAGGCAAAGACTGGAACAGATTTTTCCCAAGTGATTGTCTCAGTCTCAAGGAAAATTATGTTCTGATTTATGGCTGTCACTTCCTTTGACTTGTAAGTCAATAATGACTTTTAAACGCTATTTGCTGGTACTGGCAAAGCTTTAGTCCTATCACTTTCCCTAGAAATCTCCCTAAAAATGCTTCCACGGTGCTTCTTAGTTTAGAATTCATGCTGAAATCTAACTTAAATTTTCCATCCTTATTTTTTCTACTCTTCATTCACCCTGAAATTCATCCAAATTCCATCCTTTTTGTTTATGCTTTGAACTTCTCATTTCCAGGCCTCTGATCATGCTTTACCCTTTGCCAGGAAAGGGGGCTTCACTGCCCCTTCCAGCTCCGATCTCGGCCTCTGCCATGAAATCCGTCTCCATGTAACCATAACTCACTTGGTCAGTTGTAAACGATCTCCCTTCTCTAAAATTATATGGTAATTATCCGTATTTCACCCCGTGGAAGACTGAGTTTCTTGAGTTCATCCCATACTTCTCTCTCAGGACCTTACATGCTGACTAGCAGAGTAAGAGTGTGCTGCTCCCTCCTCAGCTATCACTTCTAAATCTCACACCCGTAACTCTTGACTACTTTCTTCCCAATTCTTAATTGTTCTTCTTCCACCTCCTTGAACCCTGTTCCTCAGCTTCTTATGAAGTTACTGGCCTTCTGCAGTTAACATCAGAATAATAGAGCCAGAGCTCTATTCTTTCCGTGAAGCACACTGGAACAACACAGGCTGTGAGTCTACTATGTTCATCATAGATTATATTTGGTTGTTACTGGTATTCAGAAGTTGTTGCTTTACAGTCAGTAATTAGTTGTACTTAGTCTTTCAGTCCTTCCTCTCTTTTCTAAAAGGAATTTAGAATAATAAGGTACTCTTAGATGCAGAGACATTGTGGGATATTATTGAAGCTTCTAAAATTCTAGTGTTTAGACTGTTGGTATTTTACATAAATACATATTTGATAATAAATGTTTCCATCTTCAGAGAAGAAAATGACTTAAAATTTCTTTAAAAAGCCAATAAAAATGTATGTTCTAATAAAAAAACTAATTGTAACATCTACAGCAGAGGTCAAAACCTAGCATCCATGGATTCATAGCCAATATGGGAATGAACTTCAGCAAGTCCATGAACTTATAAGCAAAGTGTTATGATTATTTTATGGGGTTTTTTCCCTTAGCTTTAATCACATTTTCACAGGGCTCTGTGATCCACAAAAAGATTGAGAGTGCCTAATAATTGAGGAAATCAGAATCAGAATTCTAAGAACATCTTATGTACTTATTAATGAAAGCAATATGTTTTTGAATAGAGAATTTTTACACGCATCTACTGAAGTTAAAACAGCAGGCATTTTGTCACTATAATATCAAGGGTTCGTATCTCTAACAGATCGCTTTTCCTAGGGAATATCTGAAACACAGGGAGGAAGAAAAACATGAGGTGATTAAGAACTTGAAGGATGTCAGCAATGGCAACTTGTGTCCTGTTTTAAAGCGTACCATCCCCTTTGGGGTTGCCTATCACCACAGCGGTTTAACGAACGATGAAAGGAAGCTCTTGGAGGAGGCCTATTCCACAGGAGTTCTGTGCCTTTTTACCTGCACTTCCACACTCGCAGCAGGCGTTAATCTACCAGCTCGAAGGTAAGACACCAGGAACTAGTGGCCGGGCTCAAAACTTTTTAATTCTCAGCATGCCAGGAGTTCTTTTGTTTTATTCTTTCTCGGTAGTGGGTGAGAATTTATCAAATGTTTTTCATTTACTGAGTTAATTGTGTGGTTTATTTCCTATAATATTTTAATGAAAAATAACTTTAGTAGATTTCCTGGTATTAGAATTCCTTTCTTTGGTGGTCTCCCTGTGTGGTTTTGACATTAAGGTTTATTTTTTTATTTGTAAACAGTTGGCAAGTCTTCTCCCATTTTTTATGATCTGAAAGAGTTTATGTAACATAGGGATTTTGTCGAAAACTTAGAGAACTCATCCATAAAGACTTCTGAGTCTAGTATCGTTTTTTAGAGTAAGTCTTTGATTATCTTTTCGGTTACTACCAAAGCTATAGGCCTGTATAATTGGTTTCTGATCTTTATAATTTGTGACTTTAAACTTTGTGACATTTTTTCAAATACATGTATTTTCTCTTGGGTATGCAGTTTTAGACATCTCCATGAGACCACAGTTGTTAATCTTGCTATCAGTGTCTCTGTTTTCTTACTCTTTGTGATTTTTTGATCTGTCAATTTCAGAGACCTGTGTTAGTCTCCCCCTGTTATTACAGAGTTGTCAATTTCTCCTTTTTGCATTTCTAGAAGTTTTGCTTTGTATTTCAAAACTGTTTCAGTAAACAAAGATTTATTTCAAATATCTTATTGCTGAATCATACCTTTTATCAATACAGTAGGTCCTTGTTTTTCTCGTTGAGTGATTTCATTTTGAACACTAGGACTACATTTTCTTTGCCAAGTATATCTTTTTCCATTCTTTTATTTTCAACCTCTGTCACTGATTAAGTTTTCCATTTTTCAGACAATTGAAGAATAAAAAAGAAAATTATATATCCTATTTCTCTTATTCAAATTGTACTCTTAAAATCTTAACAGTTACAATCAAACATGTTTTTCTGTCATTTTAGAGTTAATAACTGTGTCCTCTCCTGGACATAACAAGTCTTAGCACTTGTATTTTCTCCTATACTGCCTCATGTATATGTTGCAGCTTCCTAAAGTTTTAGTTCCAGATTTTTAAATTTCTTTTATCTTATAGGTCATAATTATTTAAACCACCCTATGAATTATACTTGGGTTTTTTTGGTTTACCACTGCCTCTTATATCTCACATACTCCTTCTGTGATATACTCTTAGTTTTGCCATCCTTGATTACTTATTTTTTTTTAAGTTTGTTTATTTTGAGTAAGAGAGAGTGCAGGGGAGGGGCAGAGAGAGAGGGAGAGAGAGAATCCCAAGCAGGCTCCACACTGTCAGTGCAAAGCCCAAAGTGGGGCTACCATGAGATCATGACCTGAGCTGAAATCAAAAGTCCACACTTAACCAACTGAGCTACCCACATGCCCCAAGTAATTTTTTTAATGTTTATTTATTTTTGAGAGAGAGACAGAGAGTGTGCACGTGAGTGGGAGAGGGGCAGAGAGAGAAGGAGACACAGAATCCAAAGCAGGCTCCAGGCACTGACCTGCACAGCACAGTTGACAGCTGACACAGGGCTCGAACTCACGAACTGCAAAATCATGACCTGAGTGGAAGTCGGATGCTTAACCGACTGAGTCACCCAGGCATCTCCTGAGTAGTTATTTTTTAAATGCTGAATTGGGTGTAAAAATTTTTGAGTCTTTTTATAGCTGAAGATATTTTTATTTTAGCCTCATACCTTAACGTCTTTCCAGGAATAGAATTCTAGGTTTAATTTTTTCCCTTTGGGGACTTTGTAGTATTGTTCCATGTCTTTTAGGAGCCACTGTTGCTCATTTTTGTTTTTGCATAGGTTTGCTTTTTCCTCTCCAGAAACCTAGATTTTTCTCTGTAACCTTAAAATTTCATCATAGTGCATAATTATAATTGGAGCCATTACACTCCCTCCTGTGTCATAACAGCTTTTACCTGCATTGACTTAATAGAGCCTCACGACAACTCTGTGAAGGTTATATTTTATTATCGACATTTTATAGAACAGAAAACTGAGACACTGAACAACTAAATAATGTACCCAACCTCATGCCAACAAATGAGTTTCAAAAACCAAGATTTGAACCCTGGAAATTTAATTCTTAATCCCAACTATCCCAGTTTAGCCACTTTTATTCATAGGTCCTAACACTTGGGAAAATGCTTTCAATGTAAAGTTTTATACCTTTTATACCTCTGGCACCTGGGTGACTCTGTCGTTAATGCATCTGACTTCGGCTCAGATCATGATCTCACGGTTAGTGAGTTCGAGTCCCACATCAGGTGAGCTTGTGTCCTGCTTTGGTGAGCACAAGCCCCACTTCAAAGAAAAAAACAAAAACACAAGCCCCAGGTGAGCCCCATTTCTCTCTCTCTCTCTCTCTCTCTCTGCCTCTCACTCATTTGCACCCTCCCCCTCCCAAGAGAAGTTTTATGCTTTCATCTTACTTTTTTTTTTTGCTTTTTCTTTTTTTCCTTTTTTCTCCATTATCTCTGTTTTCTGTTTTTATAACTTCACTTGGACAGGGTTGAAGCCTGGTAGATTGGGCTTTCAAATCTCTCAAGTTTTCTTACACAGTTTTCAGTCTATATGAGCTATGTGATTTCTTCAACTCTACCTTCTATATGACAAAATCAGTTTTTTACTATTTCCCATTAACTATGTTTATTCATTATTCAGTTATTCCGTGAATTTTTTAATGAATTTAAATTTTTTTCATAATTTCTAAGAACTATCTTCTCTTATTGCTCTTTGTTTATAACAGTCTGTTCTCATATTGTGAATACAATACCCTCTAGAATTTTCTGTGAATACTGATTTAGAATTAAAAAAAATTTTTTTTTAATGTTTATTATTGAGAGACAGAGCATGAGTATGGGAGGGACAAAGAGAGAGGGAGACTCAGGATCTGAAGCAGGCTCCAGCCTCTGAGCTGTCAACACAGAGCCCAACGCAGGGCTTGAACTCACAAACCATGAAATTGTGACCTGAGCCGAAGTCAGACGCTTAACTGACTGAAGCACCCAGGTGCCCCAAGATTTAGAATTTTTTAAAGTTCTTTCAGTTCCCTATTTCTACCATTTATTCTGCATATTCTTGTGTTTCTTTTATGTCTTTAGTTTTCTTCAAGTGTTTATAATCTTGGCTGTCCATGGAGATTTATAAATAAAGGAGTAGGTTCATTAGTAGATAAATGGCAGGTTTCCTCTCACTTTTGAGCAGGAGAACTGGCTACAGTCCTCGATATACATGAGCAAGATTGAAAGCACCATGTTCGTATGTCAAAAACAGTTGAAACTTGTAATTGTATATGGTTGACAGTAATATACATACATACATAGGCAAGCATATGTTGGTAGTGCAGGGTCAGATTTTACATTTGTGGAGTATAGAATCACTTTTGTTCTAGTGGCAATCATAAGCTTTGTAGCTAGGCCAACACATTCAAACCATAGTTGTGGTAAATACTAGTTTTGTGTGTTGAAGTAAGCCACTAGCTAGTCTGTGCTTCAGTTAGCCCCTTTGTAAAAAATAAGATAAAATAAAATAATGAAGAATATTGTTACCAAGAATTTTCTAAGAATTACTGATAATGTACTCAAAGAATCTAGGACATCACAGGTCCTTGGTAAATAGTAGTCACTTATTATTTTGAGTTAACATGTCATTAAATTTAATATCAGATAACTAAAGAAATTCAGAATTTAAAAAATAGATGCTATTATTATAGATGGGCTATCACTTTTAATTAATATTATCAATTCCATAGAGTTATTTTAAGAGCTCCCTATGTTGCCAAGGAATTTTTAAAGAGGAACCAATATAAACAGATGATTGGCCGAGCTGGCCGTGCTGGGATAGATTCCATTGGGGAGAGTATCCTTATCCTGCAAGAAAAAGACAAGCAACAGGTAACAATCCATCTGGTTGTTGGTTAGTCATTTGGTCTTTTTATGGTCTTTGGTGTAGCCCTTTTATGATATATATCATCCTTTAAAAATTACTTATTAATATTTCTTTAAATAATGTTTCTTTGTCCTCTATGATTAAGAATTAGAACAAGTAGTTTGAATACTTTTATATTTCAGACAAGCAATAAAAAGTATTTTCCTTATTTATCTTACTTCCATTTCCATGAAAACACCTGCTAAATTCTTAGTTGTTTGTCTTTATGTCTTTAAGTTCCCCCTACTTCCAGATCTATGCAAAATAGAAAATTTTCTATGGAACACTTTATTTTTTTGTAATAACACAAAACTTAATATTGCTTTAACTTTTGTAGGTATTGGAGTTAATAAGCAGACCGTTGGAAAACTGTTATAGCCATCTTGTTCAAGAATTCACCAAGGGAATCCAAACTTTGTTTCTCTCTTTGATTGGTTTGAAGGTATTTTTCAATATTTTTAACTATTATTACTGTTACATGAGATAATAGAGATAAAAGTTATAAGAACTGTAAAGTAGAAAAAAATGTTAACTTCTAATCTGATGTGGAAAAGAACAGTCTGACATGATAAATCTGAATCTAGATTTGCATGTGCATTTTTAATGCTTTGAGTTGTATGAAATACGAAAAATCAACAAATCATGACTGGGCATCATTGTAAGTGAGAGACTTTTTGGATACTCTGGGGATTATAAGAAGCTGTAAAGACACGGCTCCCAGTGTGAGGTAATTCATCATGGCTACGCTTACTAATAATAGAATAAAGTTCACCTGTAGTCCTATGATCATTCTAGGATATTATAAACATTTGTGAGATCAGTATAGCCTTTATTAGACAAAAAATTGAAAAAGAAAAGGCATAATAGGAAAACACTCCTTTTCTTAGAGATTAGCTCTCTTTTAGGGTTACTCTTTAGTTAAACTTCTTTTTTAGGGTTATTCGTAAGTAAATTTTAACTTTGTGTCTAAGGGCACTTGGCCATAAAATGGCAAAGCCAGGGTTTGAATTCAGCTTTGTTCAACTACAAAACCAGTGCTCTTAACCCTACCTACCTAATTTGCAGACTACCTTTATTAGCGCAAACAGTTTGGGTGAAAATACAAAAGGTACCTAATAAAAAAAGATACCATACGATAAGTTTTGATTACCTTATAGATGAATAGTGTAATATTATAATATTCCCTAGAAGTTCAGAATAGTGAAAGATTATAAGGAAGAAAAGGAATCAGTGGTAGGTAGTGACACCTAGGTGGCTCAGTTGGTTAAACATCCAACTCTTGATTTTAGCTCAGGTCACGATCTCACAGTCCTGAGATTGAGCCCCATGAGCCCCACAGGCTCCACATTGACCATGGAGACTGCTTAAGATTCTCTCTCCTCTCCCTCTCTTTGCTCCTCTTCTGCTTGTGTGCTCTCTCTCGCTCTCGCGCTCTCTCTCTCAAAAAAAATAAATAAATAATAAAAAGAAGTTGTAGATAAGCAGAGGGAAGGAATAAGCTATTCTAAAATATAGACTAAATGATGAGAAAGCTTAAGATGGTGTGGGGTATCAGTCAACAGACTAGAGTCTGTAGTTCTAGAGAAGGGCTACAGATCCTGAAGAGGTGAAGGTTGGGTGGAAAGAGTTGGGCCAGATTGTGTGCTATAATTTGGGGAAGATAGGAGAGCATCCTTAAATAGTAGACTAAAGGGTTGCGACACTGTTACTTATCAGTGGAGAATTAGTAAAGTGTGCTGGTTGAGAGCAAGAGCTCTGATATCACACAACCTGTGTCCCAGTCCCAACTCTGTCTCTTATTACCCTGGGTAAGTTATTAGCTCTCTCTTAAACCTCACTCAGTTGCCTTATCTGTAAAATGGGATCATAGCATGCATAAGTATTGCAAGACTAGTTTAAAAGCAATTGTAGTAATCCATGTATAATGTAATAAATCCTTACAATAGGCAGGTTGCCAAGGAATTAGTGAAGGAGGGAGAGATCATAAAGATCATCAAGTCTTATTATATTTATATATTAGATAAGGTAACAGACTCATAGAATTGGTGAGTAGTCTAAGATCATTCAGTGAATTATGGTTTAGATGGGACTATAATTTAGTTTCCTGCCATGCTGGCCTGTACTCTTTCCAGTGTATCATTGTGTGTGTTTGGATTATTTTTCAAGTGCACGGGAAATATTTCACCAACATGGACCATATTCTGAGATCATAGACAAGTCTCAATACATTTAAAGGATTGAAATCCAATGTGGTATTGTGTGTAATGAAAACAATTATAGTATACCAGCAATAATAGAAGGATAATAGGGGATTACCCAAATATTTGGAAATTAAATAGCATAATTTGACCAGTGGTCAAAGTAGAAATCACAAGGGAAATAGAAAATATTTAGAATGGAATGAAAATGAAAACAGATATACTAAAACCAGTGGCATGAAGCCTAGGAAGTGCTGAAAAGGACATTTGTAACTTTAGATGCTTGTTAGAATATAAGAAAAATCCAAATTCAATGGTCTAAGTTTTACTTTAGGAACCAGAATGGGGGGGTGGGGATCCCAAGTAAAAAGAAGGAAATAATTAGTAAAAATAAAAATGAAATAAAAAGTAGACAAACTAGAGAAAAAAAATAATGAGACCACAATCTAGTTCTCTGAAAAGATCAATAAGATTATTCACTGATTTTATAACAGATGAAAAAGAGAGAACACATAAATTACCAGGATTAGTAATGAAAGGAGGATCATCACTAAAGATTTTAGAGATATTAAAAGGATAGTAATGAATAATCCTTAAATAACAATCCTTGAATGCTGAAAAATGAATTCAATTATTTAAATGAAATGAGGAAAATTCTTGGAAGATACAATTTCCAAAATTGTCTGAAGAAGAAGCAGAAAGTCTAAATAGTTCTATTAAAGAAATTGAATTTATAACTTAAAACTTGCCACAAAGAAAACTCCAGGCTCAACTGACTTCACTGATAAACTGTATAATACCAATCATACACATATTCTTCCAGAAAGTAGAGGAAGAGGGAACACTGCTCATCTCATCTTTTGAGACCAGCATTATTACCCTGACACAAAAACCAGACAGATATTATGAGAAGAGAAAACTACAGGCCAATATCTGTGGTAAAAATAGATATAACAATCCTTATCAAAGTATTAGTAATACAGCAACACAATCAGAGTTTATTCCAGTAATGCAAAGTTGGCTTAACATTCAGAATTCAGTGTTATTATTTATTTGACAGAATGCAACACCCACTTATGATAAAAACTCAGCAAATTAGAAGAGAATGTCTTCAACTCAATAAAGGGTGTTTATTTTAAAATAACAACAACAAACCACTGCTGGTAACATCACACTTAATGCTGAAAGACTACATGTTTTTCCCTCTAAGATCTGGAAAGAAAAGAGGTCTGCTTTCACACTACTTTTCAGGATATATCAGAAATCAAAGCCAGTATGAGACAGGAAGAAAAACAAGGGCACATAGATTAGAAAGCAAGAAGTAAAACTGTCTTATTTGCTGATAGTAGGTTCAAGGAAAAACCCAAAGGAATGTACAAAAAAATTAGAGTGTAATCAGCAGTGTCATAGGATACAAGATCCGTGTACAAAACTCAATTGTATCTGTATACTCACTACAAATAATTGGAAATACAACTCCAGTTACAATAGCATCTAAAAACATGCAACACTTAGGGATAAATTTACCTACTGTGTGTCATACCTATATACTGATAACTGTAAAACTGCTGAGACAAATTAAAGAAGACCTAAATAAATGGAGAGAGGTACCATATTCAAGAATTAGAACTCTGAGTTTTGATCAGATGTTACTTCCCAAAGTCTATAAATTTAGTGCAATCCCAACCAAAATGTCAAGCTTGTTTATGGAAATTGAAGGCTGATAGAATTTATTTGGAAATGCAAAGGAGTAGAATAGCCAAATTTTGTGAGCAAATAAGTGTTCACAAGATTTATTGTCAAGCTTCAGTAATCAAGACAATGTGATATTGGTGCAAGGATCATATGGAGCAATAGATTAGTAAGTCCAAACTTAGGTCAACACCTATATGATCAATTTTTTTTTTAAGTAGCCTCTATACCCAACTGGGGCATGAACTCAGGACCTCAAGAACAAGAGTCCCATGCTCTACCAATGGAGCAAACCAGGCATTCCCCATATATGATCAGTTTTTAACAAAAGGTGCCAAGATATTTAAATGGACAAAGGATAATGTTTTGTTTTGTTTTGTTTTTCAACAAATGGTGCTGGACTGACTAGATATCTACAGAGAGCAACAACAAAATAACCTCTACTCTTACTTCACTCTAATTTTATCCAAAATAATGAACACAAAGTGGATCATAGACCTAATCTTAAAAACTAAAATAGAGGAACATATAGGCATAAATTTGTTACCTTGGGTTAAGATTTCTTATGTGGAAACAAAAACATAAACCATGAAGAGAAAAAAAATCAGTAAAATAGACTTCATAATTCTTTAGATTATCTTCAAAAGACACTGCTAAGAAAATGAAAAAGCACAGAGGAAATATTCATAATACATACCTCTGACAAATACGTATATGAGTTAGGACTCAGCAAAAGGCAGTGGAATTGGGAGGGAGTTGAGACTTTACTTGAGACCAGTGCGCCCAGATAACAGGGAGACTGGGAGAACTGACTTGGCCACCAGGGTGTGGTTTTATGGGCCTGGCAATGCAAAATCCACAGGGAACAACAGTTGCATTTAAATTCTGTTTTAACAGCTGGAGCACAGCAGCAAGAAGTCCAGGCAGCAGTTGGTTCAGGAGACTAGCAGGTAGGCAGCTGTGGTTCCACGCCTGCCCATGGAACTCGAGAAACTGGACCCAGTTGTGAGGGGGACAAGTCATCAGGGCTCCTCTTACGTCCTGGGGTAAGGGTTCACAACAGGGCCGAGAACAGGAAAACCTTTGGAGTTGGAATTGAAGCAGAAATCAAGTCCTCTGGACAGGGAAAACCAGGTGGAAGAGAGGTGAGAGGCAAGAAGGGCAAGGGCTGTGACTTGGGCAGCGAAGTTAGGGCAGAAGGGTACTGATGAGCAGCCCAGGAGAGACTAGATCCTTGCTTTGGTGGAAGAGAAGGAAACTCTAGGAATTATGAGAGGACAGAACAGTGGCTGGGCCATGGCATTCAGGGAACCTCTAGTTACCATTTATTTATCACAGCCATATTTCAGACACCCTTGCTAGCCACTGTGTGTTTTGTCTCTGATCCCTGCATACCTTTGAATTAAGTAATAATCTTCAAACAGTAGAGTTAGTGTATCAGTCTCGAATATCTTAAAACTGCCATTTTGCCTCATCGAATACTCCATTAAGAATGAATTTTATTAAGGGGCACCTGGGCGGCTCAGTTGGTCGGGTGTCAGACTCTTGGTTTTGGCTCAGGTCATAATCTCACGGTCTGTGGATTCAAGCCCCCCATCAGGCTCTGCACTGACAGTATGGAGCCTGCTTGGGATTATCTTTCTCCCCCTCTCTCTGCCCCCCACCTCAAAAATAAATAAATAAATAAATAAATGTTTAAAAATGACTTTTATTGGGGCACCTGGGTGGCTTAATCGGTTAAGCGTCCAACTTTCGCTTAGGTCATGATCTCGCGGTTCGTGGGTTCGAGCCCCGTGTCGGGCTCTGTGCTGACAGCCAGCTCAGAGCCTGGAGCCTATTTCGGAGTCTGTGACTCCCTCTCTCTCTGGCCCTCCCCTGCTCACGCTGTCTCTCTCTCTCTCTCCTAGAAATAAATAAAAATATATTTTAAAAAAAGAGTTTTACTAAGCGAAAGAAAAGCAATAGGAAATGTCTATGCCTCATCATATTTTTTTGTTAACCCTTATATTGCTTTAGTATGAAATAACTACTTAAGCTTTCCAGTTGAAAGTATCACCAGTAAGAGAAATGTGTTTATTGATTAACTTCATTTTAGTATAACATGCTGATTTCTTTGAAATTGGCTAATGTAAAATTATTCTAATTCAGCATCAATTCTATATCTGAAAACCAAATGGAGGGTTAAGTGTTCCTTACGATTGCCATTATAGGTTTTAAATAGTGAGTATGAGGGGAGGAGAGACAGCAGCAAAAGAACACAGATGAGAGAGATAAAAAGAGAAGAAAACTATTTTTAGGTGATATGTTAGGAAGTATTGTCTGATCCTGTTTCAGAGGAGACTTTCAGTTGTGTTTTGCGTGCGTGCGTGTGTGTATGTGTGTGTGCTTTAATACAATTTTTATTGCTAAAGAATACTTTCACAGGTGGCTGGAAAGGAAGGGGGGGTAAGCTGGGAAAGGGGCTGTGTGGGAATTAGGGATAATTGGCTGGATAGTAAACAGAGCATAGCGCTGGAGATTATTGTGAAAAATTATTGAAAAATCTGAGCAGTTTTTGAATGAAAAATCGGTAGATGTTTTCATAAAAAAGTAAGAATGTGATATCTTCTTCAACTTGTTTTTTCTTATTAATCTCAAAATGCCACTATCTTTGTATATGCAAGTATGTTGATTTTATACAAATTTACTGCACTAATTTTGAGGTGTGGAGATTAACATGCATTCAAAATGATGCCTTGAATTAAGGAAAATGTCCTAATCATGTCCTGAATTGTTTCAGATTGCAACAAATCTTGATGACATATATCGCTTTATGAGTGGTACATTTTTTGGTGTTCAGCAAAAGATTTTGTTGAAAGAAAAAAGCCTGTGGGAAATAACTGTGGAATCACTTAGATACCTGACAGAAAAAGGACTCCTGCAAAAAGACACTGTTGATAAGTGCAAAGAAGAGTTCCAATATAGTTTTCATATTACAAAACTGGGACGAGCTTCTTTTAAGGGTAAGAGTTTCCCTAACTTTCCAAGGAAATGTGCTGGGAAAAAAAGTAGAAATTAAATCATCCTGTTTCTTTAAATTGGAATTGTAAGTTCGTATTAATAACATTAAGTTTATAAACTGTCCGACTACTTTAGCTTTTAAAAGTTGAAAACGGGGAGAGCCTGCCTGGCTCAGTTGGTAGAGCATGAGACTCTTGATCTTGGGGTCGTGAGTTCAAGCCTCATGTTGCATGGTAGAGCTGACTTTTTAAAAAAAATTTTTTAATAAATAAAAAGTTGAATTACAAATATTTTGGGTACTGCAGAAGTATTTGGGGAGAAAGATGGTCATTCCCCCTTCACACCCACCTCCCCTAGCTATCAAACAAATCTTAATATCCTGCCAAGAATAACAGTTTGGTGTATGTCTTTTCAGACATTTTCTGTACATTCCACTTCAATACATTATATAAATATATATACATATACAAGCAAATTTAAGATTTAAAAAAAATTTTAACATTTATTTATTTTTGAGCGAGAGAGACAGAGAGACCAACATGAGCAGGGAAGGGGCAGAGAAAGAGGGAGACACAGAATCTGAAGCAGGCTCCAGGCTCTCAGCTGTCAGCACAGAGCCCTATGCGCAGCTGGAACTCATAAACCATGAGACCACGCCCTGAGCCGAAGTTGGACGCTTACTCTACTGGGCCACCCAGGCGCCCCAAATTTAAGATTTTTTAAAGCTTTTGCTTTTAAGTAAACAATCATTTGTATTCCAAAATTTGCTTTTTTTATTTAATATAGTATCTTGGAAATTATTCATGGAATGACAGTGAATATTTTCTTAATGGCTATATCATAATTTACTTAATGAAAAATAATACATCTGTTGTTTAAAAAAACTCCTTAGAACTTAGAATTATATAAAGAAAAATCCCATTCTCCTGCTCCATTTTCACTCTCCCGGGGGCAACCACTGTTAATAATTTGATGTGTATTTTTCCATGTATTATTATAGATAGATTAACATGTGTATGTATATATATATGTATGTGTGTATGTACATGTGTATAGATTATTTTATGCATCTATTTGTACATATACATTTATATATTTTTTTCTATTTTATTTTAAAAGATGAAATCACAGCTGTAAGCATTTTCTGGTAGCTTGCTTTTCTCACTTAAATATTAGGAGAATCTTAAAATGTCAGTCCCTTTAAATATACCTCATTTTTCTTTTACTACTGTAATCATCTGTACTGTGAATTCTGTAATTTAACGATTCCCCTGTTGGTGGACATTTGCACTGTTTTTTATTTTTCTCAATTATAAACAAAGCTACAGCAGGCATCTCTATGTATTCTTGGGTATGTGTGGAAATGTTTCTCTGGGTTAGATTTCCAAAAACAGAGCAGTTGAGTCAGAAGGTATGTACTTGTCAAATGATCTCCAAAATAGTTGTGCTGAATTACATAAGAAAAGGTTTTGGTGGGGGGATGGGTGAAATAGGTGAAGGGGATTAAGAGTACACTCATGATGACCACCGAGTAATGTATAGAATTGTTGAATCACTATATTGTACACCTGAAACTAATATAACCCAGTAACTATCCTGGACTTAAAAAAACTTCTTTTAAAGAGCTTTTAAAGACTTTTTGCTATATTTAGGTAACTTCTAAATAAGACCTTTTTAAAATTCACCTTTTTTCCCCTCTGGTAATCATGAAAGATAAAATATTTGTATCTTTCTTTTAGGAACTATAGATTTGGCTTATTGTGACATTCTCTACAGAGACTTGAAGAAAGGTCTCGAAGGACTTGTGCTCGAAAGCCTTCTTCACCTAATTTACCTAACAACTCCCTATGATATGGCTTCTCAGTGCAACCCAGACTGGATGATATACTTCAGACAGGTGAGAATACAAGGTTCTTCAATATAGAGTATTTTGTTTATTAATGACAATGTAATTTTTGTCAAGTGATTATTCACTTTTTTTCTCTGCCAAAAAATATATATGAAATTGGGCCTTTCATGCTTCCATTTTTAAAATAGTAATATGGTAATAGCACTTTTGGTTTATGTAACTTAAGTATTACTTTTCTGTTAAATATGAACATGTTCATTATTGAAAAAATAAAGAAAGATCCAAAAAAGAAAGGAAAATCATCCCTAGTCCTATTCCCCAAAGATAGTTATTGTTATGATTTGGCGACCACTCCATTTCATAATGCCTAGAAGCTGAAGAAAATTGTGAAAGTTATTTCTTGAGAGTTTAATTATATGACAGCTGTATCAGAGCCAAGCGTGACAGACCCAGTGATATTACCACCTGAGCAGGAATGTCAGTTTTATCACCAACAACAAGGTGGAGCTGATCCCGCTGTCACAAAACCAGGCAGTAGAGCACAGTCTATTATGTTTTTACTGTGAACAGGGCAGAGACATGAACACGGACGAGGCAGAGGCAGTATGCAGCTTTGAATTGCAGGAAATTAACTTTCTTTTTAATGTCACGTTGTTAAATTATAACTAAGTTTGGGGGGTTTTTGATGTTTATTTATTTTGGGGGGGGCTCATGCATTCGAGCAGAGGAAGGGCAGAGACAAGAAGAAAGAAACTCCCAAGCAGACTCCTTGCTGTCAGCACAGAGCCAGATGTGGGGCTCAATCTCACAAACCATGAGATCCTGACCTGAGCCAAAATCAAGAGTCTGACACTTCAGCAACCGAACCATCCATGCATCCTATAACTAAGTTTTTTTAAATGGTACTTTACAATACATTTACTTTCAAAAGCTTAACCCTCTTCTCACTCTCCCCCAGACATCTCAGTATTAAACATAACCACACAGTCCCTGGAAACCATAGTCCATGGTCATAGTGTTCGTGACTCTGTCTTTAAATGTTCTGCTAAAATATGTTATATTTTGATAACATATTTTTTAAGCTTGAAATATGTATAAATAAAATTTTTGTTGTTTCTTCATATACTTTAAAACCAGAAAATGTGATATCACAGGAAATACTGGATTTGGTTCAAATAGCAGATTTTTAAAAGTTACAATTTGATTTTTTTCTATATTTACTCTTTTTTAATGTAGTTTAGCCAGCTCAGCCCAGCAGAACAAAATGTAGCTGCTCTTCTTGGAGTCTCTGAAAACTTTATTGGGAAGAAAGCATCAGGTCAAGCTATAAAGAAGGTACCATAGTCCTTTTTCTCTTCCTAAATAACTAAGTTGATTTAACAAAATTAATGCTGTTGTATCATCCCTTTTGTTAATTTGATCTTTTTGTTTCATATTTTTTTCTTTAAGTTAATATAATTCCCAGTTTATTATTTAAAACATCTGAGGGCCAGAAATTTGGGCATTTTTTTAAAGACAGTATTTATTTTTGGATGATGTGATGTCCTTTTTGTGTGTGTACCTTTGTATTTCTGAAACACTGTCATGCACGTATGAGCTTCTTATCATAGAAGAAGGTAAGCCTTAATCTATTTTTCTTAGTCTACTGATGGCTTATGTGATAAAAATTGTAAAATACTTATAAAATATTTTTATGGTAGTATATAATTCTGAAATCAGTTCAAGGGAGAAAAAAGTATTTTCTAGAAACTTTTTTTTTTTTAAGTAATCTCTATGCCCAGTGTGGGGATCAAACTCACAACCCCGAGATCAAGAGTCAAATACTCTACTGACTGAGCCAGCCAGGTGTCCCTCTAGAAACTTTTTTTCGCACCCCTAGAAACTTTTTATTAGGCGTTCTACTTGGTATCAGGGCTTCTAAGATAGGATGGGTTTGAGGTTTCTGTTATTGCTGTTTGTTGTCCTTAAAGAACTTCCAATCTCGTACTTGAAGTATATTCTATAGAAGGTTGAAATGGATAAGTTAATACTTTTTGTGCAATATCTTATATTTTGGGGTTTTGAAGTTTAGTCAACAAATATGAAGCCAGTGTCTATTACACTAACTTTAAGAGGAATGGAAATAATTCTTTGGCAAACATACCTTCAAATTCCTTAAGTTAATATTTTCCACCTTATAATACACTTTTTTTCATTTTTAATTTTTTTCTGGTAATTCAGTCTTTTGGATTGGATAACCTAATTATTTTACCTACCATTTCCCCCTATATCTTTAAATTTACATAAATATTACTAATTATATTTTGAAAAGTGAAAGATGGTGTTTATTCACATTTGAATCAACTGATGCCCTCTCTCAAGTACTGCTATATCATAAAATTATAAATACATGTTTAGTACTTCAGTCTTCATGTTATCACAATATTTTGATTGGGTCAGAAATAGCTACCTTGCTTTAAATATCTAAAATGCTAAATAAAAATATTTCTTAAAACAAACCTTTTATATCCAACCTTAAAATACAAAATGAAAACATATTAATTCAGAACTTATTACCAAATAATAAACATCTACAAAATCTTATTAGAATAATGTATCTTTTAAAACTTGAATCAGAATTTATTTTTGTTACATTCTAATGAAATACAGTCAATAAATGTTCAGTTGATTTAAATTCTAGAGAACATATTTAGTTAAAATCAAATTTATTTCTCCATATTGAAAATGACACCCTCACTTTTCTTTACACATTTCTTGTAAAAGACCTTGAAATTGGCATAAAGCATCTTATCTTGCCATATAATACAATTATATCATTTTTCTTGGCTTAGAAAATCCATTCTAAGCAAAATGTGCATTGACTCAAATTATAGTTAATAATGAAGATGCACTAAATTTGGGAAATTAAAAAGCAGTCTCTCCCCACTGGCAATTCAGCTATCATGATTTTTCAGCTTAATCCTTTTTAAAAGGTGATCCAGTATCAACATGCAGAGTCTGTAATTCATGTCCTTCCATGTGCCACCCTAAGTTCTCATCCCAGACATTCTTTTACTATCACTGAGGATATCATTTTATATTTTATACCTACTTTTTGTCTCTCAAGTTCATCCTTTCTTTCCTCTGATTTTAAGCATGAGCTACTCAGTTTCTAAGGTAGCTTGTTGACGATGAAATACTTTGAATGAACTGGTCTGTAGACACCGTAGGCAAAAGCAGGTACACAAATAGTCAACGACAGGAAGCGTTTTTCTCTGTTTGTGTTTTAACTTTGGAAACATAAATTATCACAACTATGTGGAAATCATAGAATCCAATATTTACTCTTAGTTTACAATATGGACAAGACACATACCTTTCAAAAGAAATGCATTTGTCTAATCACATTCACACCTATATACAATCTATAAATACCACAGTAAATGTAAAGTCCTTCCCAGCTCCTTCCCTTCCTGTATTCTTCTCTAGGGCTACTGTAACTAATTAGCACTAAGCATCTTAAAACAACAGAAATTTATTCTCTCACAGTTCAGGAGGCCAGACGTCTGAAATCAAGATGGCTCCTTCTGGAGGCACTGAGGAAGAAAACATCTTTCCTCTCTCTTAGCTTTTGGTGGTTGCTGGCAATCTGTGGTGTTCTTTGGCTTGTAAATGCCTCCCTACCAGTGTCTCCACTGGACATCACCATCTTCACACTGCCTTCTGGTTTGTGTCACTCAGTGCCCTCTCCTCTTTATAAAGACATTAGTCACTGAATACAGTACCCCAAAGATAGTCTACTGTACATCCAGGGTGATTTCATCTCAAGATCTTTAACTAATTATATCTGCAAACATCCTGTTTCCAAGTAACATCACATTCACAGGTACCACAGGTTAGGACTTAAACATATCTTTTTTGGGGAGCAAACACAATCCAACCCACTCCAGCTTCCCCGTAAAAAGAAGTTTAAATTGGAAATAATTTGGCCTATTTCTTTTTTTTATACATGGAAAAATGATAATTTGAATTACTATAAAGTACATATGTTAGAACTTAGTTTTATTTCTGTGGAATGATTCTATTCTTACTTTCTTGTAGTATAAGTTCATTCCCGTTACCTTTGTCCAACTTCAATATAATGTACATTTTTAGCAGGTCCAGTACGTAAATTTATTTCATTGTGTCTTTCTAGAAGGTGGACAAGGACACTGTCAACAGACTATACCTGTCTTTTGTTCTTTATGCCCTGCTCAAAGAGACCAACATTTGGAGTGTGTCTGAAAAATTTAATATGCCTCGAGGATACATCCAGAGTCTTCTTACTGGAGCTGCCACGTTCTCCTCCTGTGTGTTACATTTCTGTGAGGTAATTCCATTAAACAGATGACACATGCTTTCTGCATCTTTTGTTTTAACTGCTACTCAGCTCACAAACCATTTAGTCATTCTTTCCTCATTGTTGATTTATATTTGTTTTTATCTGCTTAAAAAGTACTATATACTAACTTATGGTAAAGATACAAAAATGACAGAATCAACTAAAATAAATAGTGAACAAGTAGAAAGCATCTAGTTATCCCTACTCTTAGAACCACTGTTAATAGTTACAAGTATTTGGGGGCACCTTGGTGGCTCACTTGGTTGAGTGGCCTTCTCTTGGTTTCGGCTCAGGTCATGATCTCACGGTTCGTGGGTTCAAGCCACACGTAAGGCTCTGCTGTAACATCGCAGAGCCTGCTCAGGATTTCCTCTCTCTCTCTCTCTCTGCCCCTCCTTCGCTCGCTGTCTCTCTCTCTCTCTCTCAAATAAATAAACTTTAAAAAAGTTAAAGGGGCGCTGGGTGGTTCAGTTGGTTAAGCGTCCAACTTTGGCTCAGCTCATTCTCTAGTAGTCTGAGTTCAAGCCCTGCCTCAGGCTCTGTGCTGACAGCTTAGAGCCCAGAGCTGCTTCAGATTCTGTGTCTCCCTCTCTCTCTGCACCCAGCCTGTCTCTGTCAAAAATAAAAATAAACATTAAAAAAAAGTTTTTTAATCAATAATTTTTAAAAAGTGAAAATATAGTTATAAGTATTTGGAATCAACTCTTAAAACAGCAATTCTCCATTGATGTAGACTCTGTGGGAGAATTCTTCTCATGAGTGATAACCATGTAAAGTATTTCATTAGTGTGTTACCAGTATCTGGCAGCTACCTTATGACTTCCTGGGACCATACTTTCTTGATTTACCCAGTATTTTGTCATTTTTGATTCCAGAGTTTGACAGCTGCTTTAGGTTTCTATGTTAAGTGTTTAGCTTATAATTCAAGAAGAAAACTATTTTGGCCATATGCATTTGGGATGGATTTAAGACTTTCCTAAAAGAAGCTTTCAGAGTGTCCTTAAATACAACAAAGCTTACCAGACTTTTCTTCTTGGATAGTTTTTTCAATGAATTCATAACATAAGCCCTTTTTTGCTCATTTAAATTTCTTCTTATTGAGTGGTGTAATAATCCTTTCCATATTTGTTTCTATATTCAATTTTTTAAAAACATTTTTCTCCCATGAATTTTATTTATTTTTAAAGCATACATGTTGTTTTCTTAAAAAATTTATTTGAGAGAGAGAGAAAGAGAGAGAGAGAGCATGAGAGCAATCGGGAGAGAGACAAAGAGAAGCCCAAGCAGGCTCCACACCTTTAGCGCAGAGCCCGATTCAGGATTTGAATTCATGAACCATGAGATTGTAACCTCAGCCAAAATTAAGAGTCAGACACTTAGCTGACTGAGCCAATCAAGTGCCTCGTGAATTTTATTTTTTAATTTAAAATCTTCATTTTCCCATCTTAAATCTCCATATACTATGTGTGTGTGTATACATGGCAATTAATTCTATAATATGTACTGATGAGTAAATAATCCAAAATACTTGACTTTGGGTTGAATGAGAATTATTTTAGCAAATTCACATTTCTAAATATCTCCTACTTCTGCTGAGTTTCAAATATTAGCTTGCATTCTCTAATCATATGCTGGCTAAGCCATAGACAAAAACTATGGGTAATAAGGAGAGACTAGCCTTTAAAACTATTTTCTTAAGTTTTCTATGTTTGTTGTTCTTCCTATTTAAAGGCACTTCCCCTCATATTCCATCCCTTTGTTTTACTTATGACTATAAGGACTTTAGCCTTATAGAATTGTTCAAGTAAAAGAATCTATATGTTGAATTTGAAAAACAACTATAATTTGATGTTTGATCCTAGAAACAATCTACTCAGACTTACTCTCTCATGAGTGTATTTTCAGTATTTTAAAGTGTTTTTTTTCTTTTTAAAAAGTTACATAAGTAGTATAAAATAGCACATCAATGGTATTAGCTAGCTAAGATGTCTTTAACTGCAAATAAAGGGAAAGTCCCATGGAAGTTTAAACAGTAAGTACAAAAGAGGATCAAATGTAACAGGAAAGCTAGAGCTAAGGCAGTCCCAGGGTTGATGGATTCTAGTTCTGTCCAAGGTTTTCTTCTCTTCTGTGTGTTCTCTTCAGTGCACAGACTGCCTTCCTAGCGGCCACAAATAGCCAGCTAATGCTGTTCTATGTATCACATGGGTTCACAATGACACCCAAAGGTTAGAAAGTGACTTTTAAAATAAAATATTAGGGGCGCCTGGGTGGCTCAGTTGGTTAACTGTCCGACTTTGGCTCAGGTCATGATCTCGCAGATTGGGAGTTCAAGCCCTGCGTTGGGCTCTATGCTGACAGCTCAGAGCCTGGAGCCTGCTTCAGATTCTGTGTCTCCCTCCCTCTCTGCCCCTCCCCCACTGTACTCTGTCTCTCTGTCTCTCTCAAAAATAAATAAACATTAAAAAAAAATTTAATTATTATAGAAAATTTCAAACATAAAATAACACAAAATAATATAATAAATACCCATTTACCCACCCAGCTTTAACAGTTATTGACCCATGGTTTCCAGTGTTTTATTATCTTAAATATTGCTTCTGATATTTTTGCTGCTTTAAATATTGCTGCATCTTGCATCAGAATCCTTCCACATGTAATATTCTGTCTTCAGGATGAATTCCCAGAGGTGGGAATTGTTTTCAGTCATTTGGGGAAGAAAAACTATACATTCACTTGCTGGTGTTTTGATAAAAATGAATAGAACTCTTCTTACTGACCTATTTTTCAATGTTTAATCATCTTCCTCTTCCTAAAACCACTGCATCAAATTCCTCAGTCTCTGCAATGTTTCTTTAGAATAATTTTGCTTGGAATTATTGTTCATCTCTGGCTTACCCCAAGATTCAGAACTTAACCTAAGGGAACATCCTTTCTGAGCCCTCCACCACACCAACCAAACTTTGAAATAACACCAGATTTAAATTCTGTATATTTCTTTGTATTCTGCAGGAACTTGAGGAATTTTGGGTTTATAAAGCCCTTTTGGGAGAACTGACCAAGAAGTTGACTTACTGTGTAAAGGCAGAGCTAATTCCCCTCATGGAAGTGACTGGAGTTTTAGAGGTTAGTAGCTTCCCAGTTAGTTGGGAAAATGGGATGATTTCAACTAACAGGAAAATCAGATTTTACTCTTCTGTGAAGTCTTATCATGAGGTGAGTCATAATAACAGCCTTATTCCTCATTTGCTCTGAGAGTTGTTGTTTGTTTGTTTTTTTAATAAATTACTGCCGTGGCCTCCCAAAAATCCACTGTTAATCTGGAAGTAGCCTGTGATTTTACAAAAAATCACATTTGTGAAAAAAAAAAAAATAACAGTAGGGATAAAACTGACACTCCCACATATATGTGGGCTTCCATTCGTCTTTAGCATCTCTCCCTTCCTCCACGCTAATGAAGAATTACCTTCTGTCTGTTTAGACTCAAAGCTCCGTTTGGGAAGGGCTGATTTGGTGGCAACAAGGCTGATTTCCATTTCCCAAGAGAGTGAGAAGAAAATGTCCTCAGCTGGGCTCTCAGCCTTATGTTTTTAACCAACCCTTGATTTCAGCTTATTCTGTTACTCGGTCAGAAGCATTCTTCTGCTCGGGAACACACATGCACATGTGCATGCACACACACCCCAGTAGTGCCCTGAGTAGATGTGAACACGCTTTAAGGCTGTTGTTGGACTAGAACATGTTGATGGGGAGTCTGAAATAATGCCGCTCACCCGACTGCCTTAATGGGTTTCTCGTTCCTGGTTGCAACACACATCCGTCAATATACACCACACAGAAAGCTATCTTGCAGTTTGGAACCACCCAAATTCATCTTTTAAAATTTCTCAGGGTTCTGTTGTTATCTCTTCATATTTTCTTTATTACTTGAATCTATTTCTTTCTCTTGTGTGTGAAATTTTTCCCTTTAGGAAGACACTTTATTATTTTTTCCTAATCCCAAACTCTGATCCTCTGATTTTTGTAATACCTTTCAGGGTCGAGCAAAACAGTTGTACAGTGCAGGTTATAAAAGTCTAATACACTTAGCTAATGCAGATCCTGAAGTACTGATAAGAACAATTGATCATTTATCAAGACGCCAGGCCAAGCAAATTGTTTCATCAGCAAAGGTAAGCAAACCAACCATTTTTTAACCTTCATGATATTTTGTAGTGTTATCAACTTCTACTTTGGACATAAAAACATTTAACTACAAGACACAAAGGTATATACTCATAGTATGGGGCTAAAAATTGTGCATCTGTTATGATACAAGGCTTGCTAAAAAGAGGAAAAGGATCTCCTAAAAATTAAACAATCTCAAGAGTTCACTGAACTACAAGGAACACTGCATCTTAGGGAATTCTGCCTCCTCATCTTTTTCACAGAAGTCCTTTCCCAGCATCCCCGACATCTGGCCTTGAACCACCTTGAGCACCTTCACTGACATGGAGCTTACAACCTCAAAAGTTAGGTAGTTTTATTTTTGGACACTTGTAGTGTTACATAAAGCATCTCAAGATAATGAGGCTAAATGTTGCCTTCTTACAATACCTACCGTTACACTGTAAGTGCTTCCCCCTAGAACTGTTCTGTTATCTTTGTTTATATGGTAGTTTTTCACATACTTGAAAACAGCTCTCTATGCTTCCAAAGGTTCCTCTTTTCTGTTTCTTTCATACATATTAAATAATCTTGTTTTAGGAGCACCTGGGTGGCTCAGTCGGTTAAGTGTCCAACTTCAGCTCAGGTCATGATCTCACATTTCGTGGGTTTGAGCTCTGTGCTGACAGCTCAGAGCCTGGAGCCTGTTTCAGATTCTGTATCTCCTTCTCTCTCTGACCCTCCCCTGTTTCCGCTCTCTCTGTCTCTCTCTCTAACTCTCTCTCAGAAATAAAATAAAAACATTAAAAAAATTTTTTAAATAAATAAGTAATCTTGTTTTAGGCGATTTACTGTCCTGGTTACCCTTTTCTAGATGTAGACCAGTTTGTCTTTTTGACCTGTCCCCATCATTATTGGACTTTCTTATTTTGGGGGAATATCTCTCAGGGTCTAATTATTAGGAACAGAAACCACACAGTAATTTGAAGAGGAACCTTTAATGTAAAGAATGAGTAACTAGTAACAAGGTTACTTACTAGTTAGTTTCTAAGGGGTAAATGGAACTTTTAACAAATAAGAAGAGCGTCCACCCTCACCTGACACCACCCCCTGGGGATGGGATTCATACTTCACTGGAGAGGGTGCGGCTTTGGCTCACTGGACAGCAAGTAAGTTCTTCGTTGCAGCCAAGGCCGGCAAGCAGGAAACTGCCGGCTAGGATGCTGACGAAACTCCTGCTCCCAGGAGTGTGCTGTTGGACTTCCTTGGAAGGTAGCTTGAGTAACCGTTGAACTTGCTGGAAAGCTGTCTGCAGGGATACTGTGGAAACTCACCGTAATGAGTGCCACCAGCTGTTCAGCTCACTGGACTAGCACTGCAGGAGCCGTTAGAAACAGACACACAAAACCAAGAAGAGAAGCCCCTGCCTACTACAGTCTCTCCAGTGCCCTCTGTTGACAAAGCTTAACATTGTACCAGCTGCCCGAGTGGAGGTGTGTCCCGGATCTAACCGTAGTGTCTCCAGCAGGGCAATGAAGGATGGATTTGAAACTGAGAAACAATAAAGTTAGTAACTAGTACTCTTTTTTTTAATGTTCATTTATTCATTTTTGAGAGAGAGAGAGAGGGCACAAGTCGGGGAGTTGCAGAGAGAATCCCCAGCAGGCTCCATGCTGTCAGCACAGAGCCTGATGCAGGGCTCAAACTCACGGAGCGTGAAATCATGACCGGGGACGAAATCAAGAGTCAGACACTTAACCGACTGAGCCACCCAGGTGCCCCTGTAACCAGTACTTCTTTTTTTTTTTTTATAACTAGTACTCTTGCACATATATAGGTTCAACTTGCCTTGACCATGGAATCAGCCATTTTTCCATAAAGCCCTAATTCTTTTTAGTAAAGAGTGGTATTTCAAAACCCAAGTTTTGGGGGCTAAGTATGCTCATTACCTGAGAGATATGATCATTGCTTCTAGGTTCTCTCAGCAGACAGAGTCCATATAATCCTGTATATTTTTCTATACTTATGTGTAAATTATTAAAGGCCATGAGCTCATACTGATAACTCCAATTCTAATTTTTCCAGGTACACACTGCTGCATTACAAAGTTTTACCTCAAAACTTGGTGGCTTAGGGGCACCTGGGTGGCTCAGTCAGTTAAGTATCCAACTAATTGATTTCAGATCAGGTCATGATTTCAGGGTCATGAGTTCAAGTCCCACATCAGGCTCTGCGCTGATAACATGGAGCCTGCTTGGGATTTTTCTCCCTCCCTCTTTCTGCCCCTCCCCAACTGGTGCACGTATCTGCAAGTGTGCTCTCTCTCTCTCTTCCTCTCTCTCTCTCTCAAAATAAATAGATAAAATTTTAAAAAAAGAAAAACAACTTACTGGCTTAAAACAACTATTTTATTTTGCTTATGTTTCCAAAATTAGAATCTGAAAAGGGTTAGCAGCATGATTCTCACTTGAACTCTCATGCAATTACAGTCAAATTTTGACTGGGGCTATAGTCATCTGAAAGCTTGACTGAATTGGAAATCCAAGATGGCTTCCTCACTTGGCTGACAATTGAAAATTGGCTATTATCTGGGGCTTTCAACTAGAGCAACTACATATGGCCTTTCCTTGAGGCTTGGGTTTTTATGGCATGGCAGCTCAGTTTCAAGAGGAAATATCCAGAGAGTGAACATTTCAAGAGACCGAGGCAGAAAAGGCAGGACGTCTTCTGAACTAACCTCAAAAGTTAGGTAGTGTCACTTCTGCTGTATGTTGTTTGTTACTAGAAGGCCATTAAGATCAGTCCAGATTGAAAGGAAGAGGAATTACACCCCACCTGTACATGAGGGGAGTGCCAAATAATTTGCTGTCATCAGTAATGTTTGCCCTCTGGTCACAGATTATTTACATTTCTCCCATATGCAAAATATACTCATCCCTAACAGATTTATTCTTTATGGCATCAGACTCAGGCGCAAGGTCTAATATTTCCTCTAAATCAAGTCTAGGTGCAGGTGATGCTTCTTGAGCACAATTTCACAGTTACATTCCTGGAGCTCCTGGGTGGCTCAGTTGGTTAAGTGTCTGGGTCTTGATTTTGGCTCAGGTCATGATCTCTCAGTTCATGAGTTCAAACCTTGCATCACGCTCTATGCTGTCAGCTCAGAGCTTGCCTGGGATTCTCTCCCTCTCTCTCTGCCTCTCCCTTGCTTGTGCTTTCTCTCTCTCAAAATAAATAAATAAACTAAAAAAAATTATATAAAAAAAGGAAGAAGTGGTTCTGCTGGAAATTGGCAGGTATTTTTAGCTACCAGTAATTTGAAGTTGATGGTGTTCTCTGTATTCTAGTAATGCTGACACGTGAGTTTTGTGCAGTTTACCTGCTCTTGTCGATCTGTATCGTTTTTAGAGGATCTATTGGGAGATTAATTTTACATGGTCACCATTACCTCAGCTACTAGAAAGCTTACCTAATTGCATTTTAATCTCTTCTGTATACAATGCTATGTAATGCTCGGAGTGGGTTTTTCTCTTTCATCTTGTGTCATATGATTTTTTTTCTCTCCATGTAATTTTGCTGAACTTTTTATTATAAAACTTTTGTAACAGATGCAATGCAGATACTGCACCCCAGTATCCACAGAACCCAGCTACACAAATACCAGAACTCTATTTCTGGGCTTTTGTTTTTAAAGCTGTTGTTGTTTGGTTTTGGGTTTTGGGGATTTTTTTTAAGTGATCTCTACACCCACTTACAACCCCAAGATTAAGAGTTGAACACTCTGCTGGCTGAGCCAGCCAGGCACCCCTAAGTGTGTTTTTTAAGAGGGAAAATCATTACTCAGCAAATATTCATTGACATTTACTATGTGCTACATTTAGAACTACTTTCTTGGCTCTTCATGTTTCTTTTGAAATTAGGCACGTTAATTTGAGGAGCTTGAATAAAATTTTCTTTGAAACACTGATAGGTTTTTAAAAGATAGCATACTAAACTTTGAGGAATAATAAAAAGCATATATAAAGGATAACATTTTCAAGAGCCAATTAAATTTTTGCAAAATTGTCTTCCATTTTATAGATTAAAAGTTAATTTTTAAGTGGCTGAGTCTTCAATAAAACAAATCTTTGAGGGTCTTAAAGCTCCTTTACTTTTGATGTAGCAAATGCATTGCTCAGCTAAATTGGCTTTAGCTAAATGCCTCAGCTTCATTTACTATAATCACTTGCTCTTAAGTGGCTATTTTTCAGTCTCTTTATTAGTTTTAATGTCTAGATCGCTGATGTATTAAGATTCAAGTATCTAATAGATGGTGGTAAAAATGTTAACAGTTCTCTGGCAATGCCTATTTTGGCCTCATGTCTTGATTCTTTATTGTAGATGCTGTTGCGCGAAAAAGCAGAGGCTTTACAAGAAGAAGTGGAAGAGTTGCTGAGATTGCCTTCTGATTTCCCCGGGATCGCGGCCTCTTCCACCGAGAAGGCGTGAAGCCACCTGACAAGAATTTTCTAAGATGACTGATTTATTGTACATATTTTTCTTAAAGACTCCCTATAATTTAAAAACAAAAAAAAATACATTTTAGTTATACACAAGAACTGTGGATGATGTTTAAATATACCTCTCACCCTTCCCACAATTCATTTTCTTCAATATCCGCACATGTTTTCTCTGCTCAAAATCTAGTGTCCTCCACAATATGACAATCCAATTGCCTCAAAACATCTCCAGCCTACGTTTGCAGCCCGCCCTTTTATTATTCTCTTAATACATTTTTTTCGCCAATCTAGACTATTTGAGATCCCATGATTTCCCATGCGGATTTTCCCATGATTTTCCCATGATTTCCAAACTCTTCATTTCCTAATTGCTTTAATGCTACCCCCAGTGCATGAAAAATCATCTTTAACATGAACAATATGTGTCAGGTGTCAACTAAAGGTGCTCAAGTCCAAGGATGTCCTCATCCCCACCCGATACATGCTTCTTTCCCTCCTGTAAGTATTCTGAGCCCTTCATTATGCCTGTGTCTTTTTTCATACTGCTAATTTGAAATCTCCTGGAAGGCCAAGACCTTTTTTATCATCTTAGCCCAGTGCCGGTTCCACCAAGTAGGAACCAGTGCTAAGATACTTCCCGAATCAACAATTCAAAGATTCTCTTAAAACACAACCTAAATATCGCCTCTCTCCCACCCCTTTTTATAGCTCAAATGTACATGGCTGATTATCTGTAAGGAAAAAAGATAATAAGTAGCAATGATTCTTTTTTAAAATTTTTTAATGTTTATTTTTGAGAGAGAGAAAGAGTGTGAGCAGGGAAGGGGCAGAAAGAGAGGGAGACACAGAGACTGAAACAGGCTCCAGGCTCTGAGCTGTCAGCACAGAGCCCAACGAGGGGCTTGAACCCATAAACCATGAGATCATGACCTAAGTTGAGGTCAGAGGCTTAACCAACTGAACCACCTAGGCGCCCCTAGCAATGATTCTGAGTACTGGACCAGTTTAAAGTTTTACTCACCTGAGATATCCATTGGAAACTTTGCAAAAAGATCCACATTCTAAGTTCTTCATGCCTCTACATCTTAGACTATTATAACAGTCATTTACCTCATAATTTCTATGTGCCAAGTACGTTGTTAAGACTTTCATGTGACTAATTTAACCCTAACAACAACACTGTACGGCCCATACTATTATTTCTATTTTACAGATAAGTAAACTGAGACACAGAGAAACTAAAACAACTTTCCCACAGACATTGGAAGCTTGAATCCCTAACTCTGAGGAGTTTTACAAGCCACCTAAGTCTATGACATCTTCCCAAACTTTTTTTTTCTCTCTTAAATGGGCATAAAGTATGTTATCATATTATAGTATTGTCTGATCACACAAAATTGGAAAAAATCCACAGGCAATAATAGACTGACTATTCTGTGTAGAGTGCAGTAACTGGAGTTTGATTCTCTATAAATTTGTAAGCACTTTGAGCACTATGATAACACCCTATTGCCCATTCTAGGGCGATGAAGGAATTCAATGTCATTTTGTTGAGATTCGTCAAAGCTGTTTGAAAGCTCAATGAAAATATCTAAGTGCATTTAACTGAACAGTTTCAATATACTTAGCCTGATGCTTGACACTGATGGAAAACAACAGGTGGAATGTCTGGTCCTTGTTTCTTACACAGTTACCCATGAGCCACTGACAGTAACAGAATGAAACGCTTATAGGCACTAGAGACAGAGAAGTGGGAGGAGGAGTTTTTGAGAAAGCCCTGGTGAAAGAGACCATGAACTATATGGTAGAAGGGCAGGGCAATTGGGAATGTCTGAGACAGAGGAAGAAGGGCGTTTAGGGGAGGGCAAGCATAAAGGTGGTCTTCTAGCTGGAGGTAAACAAAGTAAACACTATAAATCACACCATCTGGATATTTGGGCTCTTAAAACAGTAATGAGGAACCAAAAACAAAACCAGCAGCAAAAGGTTTGTGCTGAGCCATCTCTACTTTCTAATCTGGCGTCCCTCCTGATCAACGAGAGGCACTCTTGAAACACCTGACAGAGGTGTGCACATGTGGCCACGATATGGACAGAGCCAAATGGAGATCAAGGTCATAACCTTAGCCTTGTTAGCACTGTGATCTAACTAACCCTTGCTCGCTAGGGCAAGAAAATGTGGATTTGACTGTAGCAGGATTCTGGAAGAGTCGTGACACCAAGGCTTTTCTTTACAGGAAGCAACTTTATTCGTGGCGACACGGCTCAGTCAGGCAAAGAACTGAGCCCCGAATGCCACATGGAGTAGTTTTTTTTATACATTTTCGATTTCTTTGTCTCCCATATATGGTAACACACAAACATGTAGTCTGATTAAATCTGATTAGTGGTCTCATGTTACAAGGTCAGGAAGGATGTTGTCACATATACATATAGCCAGGTTGCCTTGATTTTGTTTCCCCCCTCCACCCCGCCTCAGGGAGGGTACCCTATCACATAACCTTTGTCTAAGATAAGCTGGCCACTAGTTGAAGTGGCAAGGATAGGCTTTATTCATTAATAACCACTGCAGTGGGGGAAAGGGCCCAGTGTGAACTGAGCTCAACTTCTATCCATGCAGAGGTGATGGGTATATTAAAGCCAGAATGAAGGAGCAGGGAGGGGACCAAGCTGGAGTCCCAGCAGACTGGGTTTATTCACTGGTGGGTGCTTACCTGGAGGAGAAGCAAACTCCTAGTATCTTTGTGACAGGATGTAGTGGTGCAAGTTAGAGCAAGCCACCCATTGCCTGGGAGGGAGAGCCCCAAGTTATTTACCTGGAGGTTTGCATTTCAACAGACAGCTCTGGGTTCTTGAGCCCACAGTTCTGAGCGGTGAAGGTCTGCATCTCAAAGCTGGGAAGAGAGGATTTACAACTGCAAGCTTTCTGAAGTAACTGTTTTGGGTGGGGGTATTCCTGGGGCCTCTTTGTTACTAGGGTTTGACTGAAACAAACAGTAATTCTTCAGGCAGACACTTTAAAGGGGTTGGGGTCACCCTAAGGGTGCAGCCTCCATCAATACTATGAATACTAACTATGTTAGTATTCAAGTCTTACTTAGCAGGGGCTTGGGAGGGGGAGGGGCTGGGAAATGGATGAGGTCATTTGCGCAGGGAGTCCACAGGTTCCATAGGTCAAAGTTGAAGCCTGGTCACAAATAGGGCTCAGAGGAGTCTGTCCAAAGTGCAGTTAAGGAGAAGATCTTTATCACTCTTGAGTTATGTTCAAAATGTACCGCTTAGCCCACCTAAAAAAACTGCCATCACTAAGATTGATACTTGGTTTCCTGCCATCTATGTTACACAACCTTAGTTCTGGCTTCTTTTTCTCAGCATGATCACAGGGGAGGAGGAAGAGGGGTTTGCATCAATAATCCCAGCTCTTCGCATAGCTTTTCAGTTCATCTTCAAGACTCCTGTAGCGGGAAGAAGCCTTTAGAAACTGGAATGACCTTGAACAGCTTCCTCTCCCTCTCTCTCGGGCCTGAGCAGGTGCAGTTCAGAATGACCTCAGAGGGGCTTGAACTTTTATAGGCAACAGGCTGCACTTTAGTTGTTCCAGCCAGCGCAGACATACTAAATCAAAATTAAATGTTAATGATTGTGGTGTCCATGCCACTCTGCTGGGGAAACTAAAATGCAGAGAAATGAGGCTCTAACAGCTGTCAGTAATTGGGTCACTGCCTTCCCCTGTGCCCTGGTTCCTCGATTTACACCAGCTCCTACTATCATTAATGGCCCTGCTGCCAAAAAGAGTCATCTTTGCCAAGATGTTGGGCTGGAGGAACATGTGTTCCTTCCAGGAGAAGCTGGAAAGTCCTTGAGAGAAGCATGAAGGGCACAAGCCCACACACATACGGGAAAGGGAAGGACATAAGCGGGAGAAGAACGAGAACAAGCAGAGCAGTGGTGGCCTCTGCCCTTCTGTTAGTGAGGGCGGGGCGTGCTTTGTTAGCTCTTCCTGCAAAATGACCAGGTTCTAGCAGGTGCTGCCAAAACTTCGTTCTGGTCAATTCAGCAGAGAGTCTTTCCCATAGTGTATTCTAATGCATAACTGGGATGTTTCTGATTCATAATGGCTGGTGGTTTCATTCATACACAGGGACTGATTGGATTCCTATGTTGGATACAAGCCACTAAACAGGCTAAGGCCCAAGAATCCCATTCCAGATTTCTGCTCTTCCCATTGTGAACTTCAGTGATCTCTGGGGAAAGAGAAGGTGGAATCCCACCCTTGAAACAGGTATTTCCGTCTGGTATCTGCCAGAACAGTAGGACAATTGTCCCATAGGTATGATGGTTTCATTCCATATCTCCAGAATGTGACACTTGTCACATCTACCCTGTGAATTAAGAAGCTTCCAAGTGTTATTATGGTGTTTTATCTGTTTGGTGTTGCCTATAAACCAACGTAAGTTGGTAGTTTTCACGTATGTGACTTTTGGGGAAATGGTGGAGGTCTCTCAAATACAAAGTTCTCTGCTCGCTATCTAGTCAGTACCACCAAGTTAGCAATGTAGGTAGACACAGAAGTGAACCACTTGGCTTGCTGTTTAACAGGTGGGCATTGTTTCCTTCATCATGGAGGACTCGAGAAGAGGCAAATGGTAAAGCTCGATCGCAGGTGACCACAGAAAAAGAGATGGGCCAGTCCTTTGCGTGTTTGCTCTTAAAACCATTCCCTGCTTCTTGTTTCTCTGAATTTCAAGGCCCAGAGTCTGAACACTTCTATTTCCCAGACTCCCTTGCCTACTGGCCCTCAGTTACGTTAAGCCCGTGGGGACTTTTTGAGGTAAAATCTTTGCAACTAAAAAAAAAAGGAGGGGAGATTAAGATCACAGTGCTCATCCACCTCCACCTCCCCATCCATTTGGGAAGAAAGGAAAGCTTCAAGAATCTGTGAGTGCTGCATGCCAGCTAGACACTCAAGTCCCAGCCCCAGCTTTGATGACTCGCATTAACAGAAAATTCAGGAACAATGGTTTCAGGAAGGGCTAGATCCAGGGCTCAAATTTTGTGTCCAGGCTGTT